ACGTATACGTAATATACATATGTGTCTGGCTCGGACGACAGCGAATGCAAAATGTGCCTTTCTAACTAAAATTACTAAGAATTACTATATATATACATATTCCCTTGCCATGATATCGACTTGAATGGAGAATGAAGATACAGAAACCGCTTGCTTTTTGAAAGGAACTTTAACTTCTAGTAACCCGCCAAATTTGCCCAAATGGTTCCATGAATTATTCGGTTATAAGGGTTATGTAGCCAAATATATACACATATATATCGCATCTTGTTTTGTGGATTACTGGAATCGGGAGAATTGCAATAAAATGGTGTGGGGGAGGGATAAAACGATGTGAACAAATTATTTTGTTGGGAAACAGAGTTTCAAAGTGGGGTAATTAGATGGAGAAGGCAAGACAGAAAATATCCCGATATTTATTCACGGAAAACTTACCCATAACCCTGGGCGGGCATGTTTCATGATCTGGACCTGTAGTCGTTCGATAAAATATACAATTCATTGATAAATGTCGCGTATGTAAATTGGCTTAGAAAGGGGACAAGTACCGCCGGAAGAGAATTGTTTATATAGAGACACATAGAGAGTTAAGTTGGCCGCCATTTCGCTTTGGTTAGTCACAAGTAATATACGTATATATAGAGATAGATACAGACATACGCATAAGTACTAGCTTTACAGAGTATACAGTACAGGTAAATATGGTTGTAGGCTATACCTAGTTGTATGATTTTTAGTCACAAGAGAGCTAAACTGTTTGTGTTCGCTAAAAACTGCAACTGCTTTAAAATAGAACATCATCATGTCAAATCACCGCCAATAGACGTGATGGGAGTGGTGAAATTTCAAAGAAATCAGTGTGAGAAAGCCAAGTTCGGGCAGACTTACAGAACAGGACGGCTACGAAGTCGGTATCCTCGATGATCTTCTGCAATATCTTGGCATTGACCTCCTCGATGCGATCGGGCAGATCCATGGCCTCCAGAGAGGTGAGGAAGTCGAGCACTCCCTCCTCGTCCATGAGGTCGCCATCGTAGATGATGGGCTCCTTCTCCCTGAGATTGGATCGAATTCGGGTTCGGTTAGGTCTTGCGGCAGCGGTACCGATGGGAGCTACCTACCTGAAGTAGGTGAGGGCTGGGAAATTCTTAATGCCATACTGTTTGGCTAGTCGTTTGTCGTTGATCTTCACAAAGTCCACACCGAAGGAGTCGGTGTCATCGTCAATTTTCTCGAGTTCCGCTAGAACCTTATCACAGGTCACACAGCTGCGCGCATCTGAAATCGTAGAAGCGGGGCATGTTAGTGTTTTGGATACGCGATCAGATCGAATTGAGATACCAACATCAATTGACAGCCAGCAACTGCGGCTGCCGCATGACGCCAGCCAAGGCAGACGCAAAATTCACATTTAAATCCAAATTCAAACCCCTGGCTCTGCCAAACCGAATGCCCAAGAGATTATTCATTAATATAGTAGACGCAGGATGCATCATCGGCCTGCCCTGAGCGAAATAAGGCTGAATAAATGAATGAAATGACAGCCAAGCCAGAGCAATTCGGTGCTATTAATGCAACAGCAACTGCCAACAAATATACTACAAATTCTAAATTAATTCATAAAATTCATGCAGCCACTATTAGGGAAATGAATTGCGCCAGACAAAAAACCAGTGCTTGCCCCGATCTCTCTGTATATTCTTTTTCGTATTTAACCGCCAGGAAATCCTAATAAACACCGAGCCATAATTTATTTGTCTATCCATTTGAGGGGTCTTTCAATGATTGAAAAGTAATAATAATATTTACGGATTCTAAGTAGCCACCAGATACATGGAACAGATGCAGATGCTAAATTGTTAGCTAACTGCTTAAGGAAATCCGAAGCGAATTTTATAAATACAGTTTACTTGATAGATATAAAGTTATTTAATATAATTCCATTCCATTTTTTTTTACGAGTAGCTTATTATTTTGGCATTGGACTTAAGGCTTTTGGATTTATAATATTTTCATTGTCAATAATTATTTTTGGAATTGCCGCCAATGTTAACGAAACATATATAAACACATTGGGGACTAGGTAAAATGGTGTGTATAGAGAAATATATCTTGTCGTGTATATTAACTTCAGCGAAGGGGAAATCGGCTTAGAATCATACGTAAGTTCAAGGTAATTAAGAAATAATATACATATATTCATTAGCTATTAGCAATTTGTTTATACGACTTTTTTCGATGAATAACTCAGCGGATGGCACTGGGGAACCATTTTATTTTTGACCCAAAAATAGATCACCGCAGATCGGCGTATATGTATATATGTACAATATACATATAAGAGTGTTTTGAAACAAATTAAAAAGGTCAGTAAATCGGTTGCCAACTGGAAGGGAAGAAGTGCCTGCTACTTTCTGTGCCAAAAGTTTGCGCCAAAAAGCGAGAAACCAAAGATATATAAAAAGCTGCAGCGGATTCAAAGGCGACGGCGACGGCGACGATCGACGGACGACGGACAACGGACGAAAGAGCAAAAGAGATTTCTCTACTCATAAACAGAACGCAAAGATTGCCCACCATCAAAAGATATATAGACGAGGGGCTGCCTGAGAGGAATATAAAAAGAGAAAAATATATAAAAAAAAAATTAACCAAATGAAAATCTCGGACGGATTTCGAGCAACAAATTTTTCACATATTTTCATTTGTATGGGAATTTTTAGAATTTTCACTAGCGAAAATTTATATAATATGGCTTCTGCTTCTGTTACTATTTCGAGTCGGTTGCCGGGACAGCTCGTTACTTGCTCCACTCTGGCATACACGCGCATGTAGGATTCACACACTCAGATCCTAAATTTAAGCTCAACTTACACCAGAAAACCGCAACGTAATCCTTGTCGGCCAAGAGCTTCTCCAGCTGCTTGGCATTGACCTCCTCGATGACCGCCTCAGGCTCGAGCGGCGCCGCTGGCTGGGATCCTTTCTTGTTGTTGTTGCTGTTGGCGCAGTTGACATATCCGGGAAAACTCAGTGCCAGCAGAGCGCACACGAGCAGCGTCAGAGTCTTAAGGCGAGTGACAGTCATCTTTCGGTGGCACGCACTCGGGGAGTCAGTAGGGTTCGCTACCTTCGGTTGGGGTCCTCGTTGCGGTTTAGGCCTTTAACTCGAACATGCGTGCGTGCGTGCGATCTGGCGGCTATGGTACTATATAGTTGGTTCGCTCACGTCGTTTGGTTTGGTTTCGTTATTATTAAAATTGATATTCCTTTGAGAGTCGGCCACTATTTTTAGGTGATAATGGTATTTCTTTCTTTCGCAATTTATTTTATGTATAACAACTTTTGGTACACTGATACATACATACGGGGCTCGTATATATACAGGCGATATATATAGGGTATATATGGGGGAAACTATATATGTATTTTCTTGCTTTCTATTAATTGAACGATTTCCGCGGACTGTACTCTTTGCCTTTCTGATTTTGTTCCACTCCGTGCAGAGGTCCGCTCGCAACTGGTGGAAATTCTGTGCCATTCAAGAGGCCTTGCCTGCCCGAGCTTTAGGGATCTTCGCATCTTCGGATCTCCGTTTCGCTTTTGCAGCTTTTGCCTCCCCTCGTTCTTCTCGTGGAAAGCTTTTCGAATGCGGGAGAGAGCGCCGGAAGGCGCGATGCACGACTGTGGGAGGAGTGTGGTGAAAGTGCTCAGCGAGCGAGAGTTTTTCCGAAGATTCGCATTGCAGTTCTCTGTTTATTATTTTTTGGATGCAAATGCTTGCTCAGTGGTCTAGCGAATGGTTCTATAAAAACAAATGCCAATAAAACACTTTCACATCAAAAATACGCCTCACTAGCGTTGAGTATTATACAGTTTAAGAAATTAAAAAAATTTCCCAATAAATTCTTTTACGTTTACTTTTTTTTTGACTCGAACTGTTTTCAAAATTTTTATATGAAATTTGGGCAACATCTAAGGCTGCACAATTGAGACATCACAAATCATTACATACAAACATATGTATATTGTTAAGTTCTATTAGTATTTTATTATCAATTGTTTATTTTCATCAATGCAGTAAATTTTAGTTTTTTAAAATCAAAATTAAATCCCTCAATAATACCGCGCCCAATTGTAACAGAAAGAAGCTGCCAGACCTAAAACAAGGGCCCCATGTAATCTGGCAACGCCATCAGACAACGCGCGAATTAAAAGGATACGGCCAGGGCTAGAATAAAAACATATCAGAATAGCTGGCGGAGATAGCTTTAGCAGTTTAGCTTTAATTTGATGTGGTATATATTCTGCAGAATAAAGTTGAGACTTAATTGCATGATATTGAATTGAATTAATTAAATTTGTATCCGAAAAAACAAATTTTAACATTTCGAAATATTTAGAAAATTGCATATCAAATTATAGCCCCTATGTTCAATGTCTCTACTAATACTAAAACGATAGTGTTGATACACGAACGAAGTCAGCTGTTTGATAGACTTAGTTTCGCGGGTAAATTGATGGGACATATTAGCGAATTTTCATATTGTTTTGAATTATCATATCATGGAATCGCTTCTTATTTTTAATTAAATATTTATAAATGTATCTTAGAGTGTGTGTGTTTCTATTTTTATGTCTTGTTGTCTAACAGTGAACTTTTTCTATACTCTTATATATAATTTTATTCAGAAGTTTGCAAAGTAATGAGCAGGGGGTCGATCTAGCCATATCCATCTGTTTGTCCGTACGTCCATCCGTCTACCCAAACTAGTCCTTCAATTTTAAAGTATCTGAATGAATCTTTTCAGATAGATAGTTGTCTGATTTATCATTAGTATCGTAATATATACATACATACATATGTACATATTTATATGGATATGTACATATGTACGTTGAAACGGGACGGATCAGACAACTATATCATATACATACATACATATGTATGTACATAGCTGCCATTGGAGCGGTCGAAATTTTAGTAGAAAAAGTACAACTTCGCATTTATGGAGCGTATGTGGAGCGTAGGATCCAAGAATGCTTCATAAATTTATTCATCCACAAATACATACTTAAATAACAATATAAAGACAGAGACGAAATGAGTTCAGTCAGGATGGTGCTTCTCCAGGTGGTCTAGGAACAAGACAGACTGTCATCACCTTCCGCTTCGTCAGCTGTAGAAGAAAGGGAAAATGGTGAATCAGCAGATTAATTTACCATTATTGCGATGATCACTTACACAGAATTTGCAGTCCGAACATGAGACTGAAACCAGCCAGGGCCGAAATGAGAGCTCGCCAACCGGCGTGGCTTTCAGTGAGAATCTCGAAGAATACCACGTAAAGCAGGGTCCCGCAAGCAATGCCTTGGAGAACTCCCGAGGGCAGACTGGGCTGACCCGCCACCACCTGCTGACTTATGCCAAGACCCACCCCAATACCTATGGGCGTGACGATCGAGAATGTCACCAAATACACAATGGCCAGAGAGCCGCGGGTTCGAGCCACCAAGAGCTCCATGCCCACGCAGAACGCCAAGACCAGCTTGTGAGCGGCCACCGCGCCGAACATGAACCAAACCGTGCTCACGCTATTCTCCAAACCGATGGCCATTCCCTCGAAAAGCTCGTGCAGGGACAATGCCAGAATAATACCCAGTCCCCGTGCCGAGGATCCTTCACCAGATGGCACTGGCAAATGTGAGTGTCTGTGCCCGTGCTCGTGGTGATCGCTCACTGCCTGAGATTCCACAACCATTACCTCATCTTTTGCCGTCTCCTTCCCCTTTAGCAGGACACTGTGCCGTATGCCGTGTCCCCTCGCGAAGGCCCCGCTGGCAACTGACTCCTTCCGGCTAAGCTTCTGCTGGTGACGGCGCACGAACGCCGTCATTAGCTCATCCAAGACGTACATCAGGAAAAAGCCGGTGCAGAGCAGCATCTCGGGCAGGGCGAAGGGCGTCACTGCAAGCATTCCGCAGTGCTGCAGTGCATTCACCACCTCGATCACCTCCGGCAGCATGTGCAGGAAGGTGGTGCAGATTAGCACGCCGCCCCCGAAGAAAAGCAGGCAGCGCACCACCGCCGACGCACGGGTCTCCTCCGGACTCTTCTTGGTCCACTCCAACCAACGGTCGAGGATGTACGGCAGGCTGCCGCAGAGTACGGTAATCACCACAAGCACTACCATGGCGACTATTTTGGCCACGAGCAGACCATGGCTATCGGTTGACACCTCCACTGTGTCGGTCATCCTCCCGTTGTGAGCTTCGAGCAACGACTGAGCTTGGTCGGACCCGCGACCACCAATGGTTTATATTGCGAGTCGTAAATTAACGGACGGTTTCTGGAATCGGATCGCTGATTGATATGCGGATACACAGCGCAAAGCGGCCCAGACAATGGACAGCCTTCGCTATCTCAATAGTACATACATAGTAGTTATCTCCACCCTCGGTCTCGTGGACAGGTGGCTTTTACTTCACACGATAGCCGAGCCATAAGATGGGGTTGTCCGTAAATAATTTTGGAAGCAATTTATTACGCGACTTCTGTCATTCAAGATCATCCAAGATCTTCCTGTAACTATTAAGCAGATTTGCCTCAAACGTAAAGAAGGATTAAGATATTAGGTCAAGCGTGCATGGGTTAGGTTTTTCAGACTGCGGGGATACGCATGATGAACTAGAAGTTGGTTATTGCTTTCTAGCTAACAATCTACTTGACTAGTGAGTAGAAATTATTTAACTTAAACTTAAATTAAACTAATAATTAAGAATTCTGTGTAAAGTAAAAATATCTTTGATATACCTCTGCATTACTGTTCGTTGGAAAAATATTGCACTCTGCGGTTGATATTACAAGCTGGTCTAGTTTATCGTTATGAGGAGATTCAATGCTGAGGAGATCTACAATGACGCATATGTAATTTATGAGCCTGTTTCTCAAAGGATGTGTAAAATTCCAACGGAAAGCTCAACACCGGAAATTTTGTACAGGTTAACCTTGCAAATTCTTATTTACTAACGCAGTGATCTACTTTTTTTATCCAGTTTCAGTATATGTACATATGTCCAACATTCGAAGCCAAATTGAAATGGAGCTTTGGATCGATGTAATTCACATTTTTAATTAATATCACTTGGTGTAAACAAAGTTGATTTTATTTTTAGGTTCAAAGAACTATTGCAGTATTGAAGAAATAGCATGATTGGATTCAGGTAAACTATTATAATTTTCTTGTACAGAACTCGATTTATATTTTCGGTTTTGGGAAGTCTCGCCGCAAAGTTACTGAACTATGTAGGATTTAATGTAACAACAAATAATCTTTGTTAGGTAAGGGGAGAATCCATAATACTATATAATAATAATAATTTTTATCTACCCAGAGAAATGAGCATTTATTTGTTATTTCAGAATTTCCATTTTATTTCATACAACCCTGACATTATGATTGAATACACTGTCTTCCTTCCCAGAAAGCACTAGTCGCCGTTGCGTCAGTCATTTGGCTTTCCTGTATTACGCTGTCAGTAAAAGTTTTCGGACTGAAATTTCAGCTGGCTTAAGGCAATATTTTCTTCCTAATGACAGCTAAAGCCATTGTCCATTGTCGTTTCTTCGTTATCATTAGATGAAGACGATAATTTCATCTGATGACTTTGAAGCCCGGTACCCACAGGGAACAGTGTGTTTTGGATTCTTCTAAACTTTTCTTAACATGACGTGTTCTGGACTGAAAGGATAACCGCGAAAGTATAATTAAAAAGCTATATTTAATATAAGGCAACTAACTAAAGTACAGGACCGGCAAGTGAGAATCGGATCTCACTCCTCCTCCTACGGAACGCCTGCTCAGATAACTTTGTTTAGTTCTCTCGTCATCCTACGGTATTCCTCGAAAACGTTATCAATATCCTCTTTAAACTCCGTCTCAAACAGGATAGCTAAAGCAAGAGCCTGCAGAGTCACGATGGCCACTGTTCGGCATACCGAAAAGCATTCAACAAGGATAAGACTATGGCAGAAGGTCATCGATCATATTTGTAATTATATAATTATGGTAAGACGTAGGAAGCCAATTTAATTTAAAGTTTCAGCAGAAGGACTTGGACTAAAAGAGGATTAAAGGACCCAAATTACCCTTCTGAAGATAATCTGTAGTGCTCTTTATTTATTATTCAAAATTTCTTTTTTTGGAATACTTAAAACACTTGGATATTGTTTATATTTTCATACTTAAAGCTTACTTTGCTTAAATCAATCAATTTCTTCATCGAAGAAAGTGTTGGCTTTCTGCTTCGCCTTGTTTGCAGGTCAAAGCCAAGAAAGGATCAGTTTTCGAATTTCATCTAAGGACAGACATAGTTGCTCTTGCCCTTGGCCTCTCCAACTGGAAAAGTAAAAGCAATTTGTGAGTTCACTTCAATCAGGATATTGAAAATGCGATCAATTACTTACTTGCTATCTGGAGACCAAACATTAGAACGAATCCCACCACCGAGGACAGCAGGACCCGCAGGCCGGCATGGTTCTTGGCCACAATCTCGAAGAAGACCACGTAGATCAGAGTGCCGCAGGCCAGGCCCTGCAGAATTCCAGAGACCGTGCTTGGTTGATTTGCTGCAGAGGACTCGCTGACCGCGATCCCGATTCCCACTCCAATGGGTGTTACTACCGAGAAGACGAGTAGATAGACGACCGCAATCAGCCACCGGGTATGAGCCATCATGATCTCCATGCCTATACAGAAGGCCAGGACGAGTTTGTGGACTGCAATGGCGCCGCACATAAACCACACGGTGCTGACACTCATCTCCAGGCCAATGGCCATGCCGCCGAAAAGTTCATGGAGGGACAGAGCCACAATGATTCCCAGGCCGCGAAGCCAGTTGGGTTCTGCGGGCTGCTCCTTTGGCTTCTCCGGTTGCTCTATCTCAACAACAAGCTCTTTCGGCTGGGCACCGTCCGTCTCCAAAACACCCACCATAAGCTGGCGATTGCGTTGCTGACGGCGTCGCACTACGAAGTGCATAATTTCCTCGATGCAGTACATTAGATAGAAGCCTGTGCATAGCAGCACCTCTGGCAGACCAAACGGCGTGGGTACTAGCATTCGGCAATCCTGCAGTGCACTCACCACCTCCACTACCTCGGGCAGCATATGGATGAAGGTGGTGGCTATAAGGACACCGCCGCCAAAGTTCAGCAGGCACAGGACCACCTTGAACTCGCGAGCATCGCTCTGGGGCCGGGACGTCCACTTGTAGAAGCGATCCAGGAGATAGGGAATAAAGCAGAACACCAGGGTGACCAGCAGCAGCACCACAATGGCCACGATTTTGGCAACTATCAAGTGTTGGTCGGTCATGGCAAATGAACTAACTCGCGCAGACGAAGCGACTTGCTCTATACCTTTTATAGTCGACACGATATCAAGCTAAAGATATCAGCAAATCTGCTAATATTTACAAATATTAAGGGCTTAGACGCCGGTACTTAGTGAAAAATGTGCCTTGGGGTTAAGGCAAGTGTTCGCTCAAATTTCGGCATGATATCTTTTTTGCACGATATCTGCGTTTTGAGCTAGAGAGCTCGGGCGTTGCCTGTTCCACTACCCCCAAGTATGAGATATCATTTTTTGTTTGCATTACGCTGTCAGTGGAAAACTATCGAACTGAAAATTCAGCTGGCGAAAACAAAATTCTGTTGGCTAGTTAAAGCTCTATGCACCCAGGAGTCAAACGTTATCATGGGACGATGGCAACAGTTTCACCTGATAACTTCGGGGCCGACTTCCCAATAATAGCAGTGAGTCAGAGGGTGTCGCGGAGGGTGGGGACGCTATCTCTGCCTGGAGGAAGGGTTATAAGTAAATAAATCAAATAAAAACTCATTGAGAACCTCTTAATAATTTATTGAACATGTTAAGCCAATGCTTTACAACATAACAGAATAGACACCGACAAGTTAATGGGAAAACGATTTGTATGTTCTTTAATATAAAAATAGTTGTTACTTTAAGACAGATGCGGCTATTAAAATGCAAATTATTAGACAATGAACATTCTGTGTACCCTGAACACCTGCTACATGTACATTTGTGCTGGAAGCACCAATATTTGTTGCGCATCTTTTGGTAGTCGGTCTACTAGTTATTTTGTTGGTATTCCAAGGCGTCCAGGTCTGCAAAGAAACATGAATTTGGTAACGAAATTAGAAGTTGCAGTGCCTAGAGGTTAAGTGTACCTTAAAGGTCAAGTTTATAATAAATACATGAGCAGAAATAGATTCCTAGCCTATGCTGTATTTTCCGATTTTATTCTTCCAATATCTACCGTATATAAAGCCATATATGGATTTTTTAAATAATTTTTTGTTGTGATAAAACGGCACATACATTCGCTTTTTTTTTAGTTTTTTTCCAGTACATTGGATTTTTAAAAATTATTTGGGTTGCCGTACCTGAAGTTTCGATAATTTTTGTGTAACGTTTAAAGCTAGAAACACACGATGCAAACAATTTGCAGCAAGTTGATTGCTGCAAACAAATTTGCACGTTTAAACACGAGTGAAAACATTTTGCTGCAAACAAAAAACTTGCAAAGTTGTTTTGCAGCAATAATTGTTGCTTGTCGTCTGTATACATTTTTTGACAGCTATCTTGGTTGCGTCAACTGCTTGCTTGTTTGCATGTGCTGTTTGCTTTCAGTCGTAGTATTGCAGCAAACAAAGCACAATGTGGGATCGCGACAACATAATAAAATTAATCGAATTGTACGAGAATCATTCAGTTTTATGGGATGTCTCATCAGGAGATTATAAAAACAAACATAAGAAGCAAAATGCTTATCGCGAAATCGCTGAAGCACTAGGAAAAAGTGATGATGAAATCAAAACAAAAATTCACAATTTGCGCACTCAATTCTTGCAAGAGGTGCGCAGGGTGAAACAAAAAAGAGTGGCCAGGGTACATCGGATAACTATACCAGCAAATGGGAGTTTTTCGATGCGCTCAAATTTATAAAAAACGACGACGGAAAAAATTATAAAATTCAAAATTTGGTAAGTAGTACAATTTATTAAACGTATCATAGTAATAACTTATTTTATATATGTTTGTATTGCCATGACAATTCACCATCAGGGGAAACAAAAAAATCTTTAAATTCTTCCCGAATATCTTTTGCTTGAGTAGAGTTTTGCGATACCCAAATACGGTAAATGTTCAACAGAAAACATAAAAGAATACAGCAAGAGTCTCTTGCTCAGAGCGAGAGCGAGAGAGTATGAACTGTTTCGGTTGTGCTCGCAACGAGAGCGCAAGAAAAAAATAGTTCGACAGTTATTTGCTCTGCTTGCAAGCAGTGTCAATAAAAAATAAAAACACGTGTAGACAGTAACGCAATATATTGCACGAAATAGCCATGCAAAAGTTTGCGTGCAAAACAAAAATTTATTGGAGCAAGAAATTTTCTTGCAATATTTGCATAGGTGTAAACATTTGTGCAAACTTTTGCTGCAAATTATTTTCAACTTGCTGCAAATTGTTTGCATCGTGTGTTTCTAGCTTAAGGAGATGAACAAAGATAAATTTTGGGGAATTTCGAATTAAATTTTCTCTAGTAAAACAACAGAAAAGTACTTTGACTTCAAAAGAATAACATTTTTTTTATAAGATGACAGTCATGTTTTCATGAAGCTAAAATCGAAACTCTATAAAAATAAAAAATGGCAGTCTGAAAGAAGATGAGTGTGCTAAAAACTAACTAGGACTGAAATCAGCCAAAAACAAAGTATTATGGCAACTCATTTTTCTGTGGCATAGTGTTATTCGTTTTGTTTTTTTGTTGAAAATTACGAAAGAATAACATTTTTTATCAAATATATAAATGTCTTCAGAAAAAGCCAAGGCAACTCTATCAAAACAATATATGGCAACCTCGATAATGCGCTAAATACCAAGAGAGGCATATATGGCTTAATATTTTTCCCCTAAACAGCAAAAAATACATATACATATGTATACTTATAGGATGACTATATCAACTATATTATATGGTAGTCCAATTTTCATGAAACTAAAATCGAAGCTCTACAAAAATAAAAGATGGCAGTCTTAAAGAAGATGAGTGTGCTAAAAACTAGCTAGGACTGAAATTAGCCAAAAACAAAGTTTTCTGGCAACTCATTTTTCTCTGGCATACTGTCATTCGTTTTGGTTTTTTGTGGAGCACAGTTGAAAATTTTATTAATTCAGAAATTTTGTATTAATATTTTATAGTTATTTTGTGGAGTCCAGGATGCCGGTAGTGGAGTGGCGTGATGATGGCAACCTGGTGTGCAACAACTTAAACGGCTATACGATGTCCTAAGATCCGGTGCCGGTGCTGCGGATGGCGGTGGTGGAGTCACGTGTCGAAGGCAACCTAGTCTAACGGGTATAAGCAGTCATTGGATTCATTTTCGCTGCTGCGGTTGCTGGTGGTGGAGCTGCGGGTTGATGGCAATCTGGTGTGCCCAACTGCGGTTCCACACGGTGACATGGTGGTGCAGCCGTCGGACTTGGAGTCAAATTTCAAGCAGTACCCGCTTGGAAAAGATCGAATGTGTTCGGAGCTGGTTGATTCGCTGCTGCAGGTTGAGCTCTTCGCACGACGCAACTGGCATAACAGCAATCAAGACTGCAATTCATCAATCATCAATCATCAATCTCCCTACCGCACCTGCAGCTGCAAGCCTATACCTGTCCTGGACTTCCTTCTTTAAGTGAATAATAAATGCACCCTTGCACTTAATAAATGTACTTATACATTAGCTAGACAACTATATGCAACGTATTATTCTGATGGTTGAAAACTAAGACTAGTTTGCGTAGAAATGGACAATCGAACAGACGTATTGATGGACATGGCTAGATCGACTCGGCTATTGATGCTGATCTTTTAAATACTTTATAGGGTCGGAAAACTCCTCTAGGCTACAAACTTTTTGTATAGTCTGCAAGGGTATAACAATTCTAAGCATTCCGATAACAAACGGCGTCGATGGCGACAGCATTCTTTTCCTTTTGCGGCAGAGAAGAGGCAGTGCAGCAACCAATTGCCGAAACTTAAAATTCAAGTTCGGAAAAATGGCTGTCCTGGGATGCATTGGAGCAAACTTTTAATCGGCCTATTTGAATGGCAAGTCTTGTATCGATGGTCATAAGTTATTCCTATCGATGTATCGCAGCGTAGAATAATATCTCGAGATCTCTCTATCGCACCCACACATGCAAATGTTCCGTAGAGCACCAAAACTTTTCGTCGCCAGCGTCAAGTGCATTCAAAATTGAAGTGAAACTAAGATAAATTTTGCTGAATTTCAAACTAAATTTTCTCTACTAAAAGAACATTTTATCGCAGAAGAGTATTTTTATTACAAAGAAATAATATTTATTTTATCAAATTTATAAATGTCTTCAGAAAAAGCAAAGGCAACTCTGTCAAAACAATATATGGCAACTTCGGTAATGCGCTAAATACCAAGAAAGGCATATATGGCTTAATATTTTTCCCCTAAACAGCAAAAAAAATATATACATATGTATACTTATAGGATGACTATATCAACTATATTATATGGTAGTCCAATTTTCATGAAACTAAAATCGAAGCTCTACAAAAATAAAAGATGGCAGTCTTAAAGAAGATGAGTGTGCTAAAAACTAGCTAGGACTGAAATTAGCCAAAAACAAAGTTTTCTGGCAACTCATTTTTCTGTGGCATACTGTCATTCGTTTTGGTTTTTTGTGGAGCACAGTTGAAAATTTTATTAATTCAGAAATTTTGTATTAATATTTTATAGTTATTTTGTGGAGTCCAGGATGCCGGTAGTGGAGTGGCGTGATGATGGCAACCTGGTGTGCAACAACTTAAACGGCTATACGATGTCCTAAGATCCGGTGCCGGTGCTGCGGATGGCGGTGGTGGAGTCACGTGTCGAAGGCAACCTAGTCTAACGGGTATAAGCAGTCATTGGATTCATTTTCGCTGCTGCGGTTGCTGGTGGTGGAGCTGCGGGTTGATGGCAATCTGGTGTGCCCAACTGCGGTTCCACACGGTGACATGGTGGTGCAGCCGTCGGACTTGGAGTCAAATTTCAAGCAGTACCCGCTTGGAAAAGATCGAATGTGTTCGGAGCTGGTTGATTCGCTGCTGCAGGTTGAGCTCTTCGCACGACGCAACTGGCAAAACAGCAATCAAGACTGCAATTCATATATCTCCCTACCGCACCTGCAGCTGAAAGCCTTTACTTGTCCTGGACTTCCTTCTTTAAGTGAATAATATATGCACCCATTCACTTAATAAATGTACTTATACACTAGCTAGATTATATGCAAAGTATCATTCAGATGGTTTAAAATTGAGAGACTAGTTTGCGTGGAAATGGACAATCGAACAGACGATTTGATGGACATGGCTAGATCGACTCTGCTATAGACGCTGATCTTAAAGTACTTTGTAGGGTCGGAAAACTCCTCTAGGCTACAAACTTTTTGTAAAACAAACGGCGTCGATGGCGACAGCATTCTTTTCCTTTGCGGCAGAGAAGAGGCAGTGCAGCAACCAATTGCCGAAACTTAAAATTCAAGTTCGGGAAAAATGGCTGTCCTGAGATGCCTTGGAGCAAACTTTTTTCGGCCTATTTGAATGGCAAGTCTTATATCGATGGTCATCTTTTATTCCTATCGATGTATCGGAGCGCAGCATAATATCACGAGCCCTCACTATCGCACCCACACTTACACTTTTTAATAGGGAAACAAGCAATCGTTCCGCTGCCCAACAACACTTTTCGGCCCCAAATGCAAGTGCAAAACGCTTTAACAGCGTTTGTAGTGCATTCAAAATTTAAGTGAAACTATAGTTGTGAAGTCGATGTAACCAGGAGGCAGGAGCGGAAGCAGAAGTAGGTCTCGCCCCCAGTGCGTATGAAAATCGATAGCGGTCGCGGTTTGATTCAAGGTAAACCAACAGCGCGCCACATACATGAATGAAAACAGCCCACCCTGCTGATTTTGGTTCACCTTGAACCCTTGAGCAGTGCTGCAGGGACCAAGAAGCGCCCCGCACCAGATCAATCTGTGTGTTTGTTTGTGTGTATCCCTGTGCCCTGCTTCCGCGTGTATGTACAAACATCAGTACCGCCCGAAAAACAGCTGTTCGATTTCTGTTTCTGTTCTGTTTGCTGCAATCTAAACAATTCAAAAGAACCAAAATTGCTCAATTAGAGGGGCGTGCACGCTCTGGTATTCTTCGCTAGGCGATTTCTTATCGATGCCTATTGCTGGTCGTGGTGGGGGCGGGCGTGGTTTGTGCAGCAAGGCGAAGGTGAAAGTCGACAGTCAGCTGGTATTAAAAAAACTGGAATAAACCCGTTATGCACAGCAGCTGTTCGCAAGCCGTGTTCCCAGTAGCAAGTGGGGCACAAAATGCCCCGCTGCAGCTTTTGGAATAAACGCCGAGGGTACTTAAGACGTCGGACGGGTGTGATTTCCCATTTATATCCGAGTAGCCGCCAACGCCAGCGCTATTATCACGCCCAAAGCAGAGACCATTGAAAATTAGAAGCGATTGCGCGCACCCAGCTGTATCTAGAACCTAATTGAAGTTTTCTTTGTTCGTTTGCAGGGTGCTACACGGCAATTCGACGTCTTTTATGTGATTATTACTATGAAATTGGATGAAATTGTTGCATGGTAAGATAGCACTTCAATTTTATAGTTCTCTGTATTATTTTGTGTGTGCGTACCAGGTACCAAAAGAAAATCGGCACCTATGACAAGCAAGAATGGGAGAAGACTGTCGAACAGAGGATCTTGGATGGCTTCAATAATGTCAATTTGAAGAACACAAAGCTTAAAACAGAGTTGATCGATGTTGACTTGGTGCGCGGTAAATATATTTATTTATTTCGCATGAATTCGATTATACAAACCCTGTTTGCAGGTTCTACCTTCCCCAAGGCCAAGCCCAAGCAATCGCTGCTTACCGTGATCCGTCTGGCCATTCTACGGTATCTGTTGCTGCCCCTTTACGCCCAATGGTGGGTCAAACAGACCTCGCCCAACGCCTTTGGCTTCATTCTGGTCCTCTACCTCACCCAGCTGGTCAACTGGGCTATCTATGTCCTGCACAGCAACAGCCACACTGAGCCGCTGGTCTATGACAAACCCTTGAATGGCACTCTGCTCCAGACCGGAACAGCCGGCGAAGACGCAGACAAACATGAGGACCATGCCGACCTGTTAAGTGCCCTGCTCATCCCCTGCGCTCTGAGCCTGCTGATCAGCCTGATCCACTCGCAAATCGTGGCCACAAACACGGCGACTGGTGGAACTGGTGGAAGCAGCACCAAGAACAAGCTCAGACGATTTTCCATGTCCAGTAGCATTGGTGACAAATCCTCGGTTCGTGAGCATAGGTTAAGGCGGCGCAAGAAGTTTGTGAGTCGGTGAGTCTGGATGAAATACTTTTTGGAAATCTTTCTTACAATTACTTACGCACAGAACTCGTCAACCGGAAGTTGAGCCCAACAGCAGCAACATCTCAATACCAGCCAGACGCAATGCTAACACTAGTGCCCTTGAGGTTCCTTCTAGACCGGTCATTATACCTTCCACAACAATCATAAGTGGCGTTGCCCAATCAGACCCCATCTTGGCAGCAACCCCGTCGCGGTCCGTCGTCGTCAAGCGGAGCAGCAGCGAGGAGACCTATATCACCACCACTGCTATCAGCGAACTCCACCGGCTGCAGGCTACACCATCCGAAAACGGGGAAACGAAGGGCTTTGATCTCAGCAGGCAAACGGGGGGACCCACCACTGCCTCCACAGCCACCCCCGAAAGCCCAAAAAAGCGGAACGTCAACTGGCATACTCCTATCCAGATATACGCCACCTACGAGCGCACCGAGCAGCCCTCCTCTAGCCAGTCTATCAGGGAAGAACAGATTGAGACCATTGGCGATGAGGAAATGCGTGCCCTCAAACCCTCCTTTCAGTCGCGTCGCAACATTGGCGAGGACGATGGGTTCGAGAGCTTAAACGGAAAAAGTTCCAGCGGCGAGGACAATAACCACTCGCCCTTGCCGAATGTGGCAGGCATTGCAGTTGCTCCTCCAGTTCCTGTCCCAAGCAATCAGCTGCGTCTGCGCTTAAACACCGGGAATAGCAGCTCCAGCAACATCGCGCCTCCAGCGGAAAAGTTGGCTCAGTCGCGAGGCAATGAGTCCACTACCAGTTGTGCGGAGTCAGATGAATGCGACGAAGCGGACATAATTTCCAGCCCGGCTTCGACCTGCAATCAAGAGTGCACCACCTCGGCCACCGACTGGCTGGGGGTGACCACCAACAGTGAAGATTGCAGTTACACCTCCGACATAGATCACTCAGATGGTGGATTTAAGCATGCGGCCTGTAGCGATGAGGATCCTGGCGAGCTGGACATAACGCCAACCACCATACTGAATCCCCACAGCAGCCTCGACCGTAGTAAGTGACAAGTTAAAGTTTTATATATCCAGGGACATAAATATTAAATTTACCTTTTCCAGTTAGCTGCACCATCTGGGATCAGCGCGACGCGAAGAAGGCTCAGCTGTCCGTTCTGGAAATAGCCTCGTGTATAATTGAGCGTGTGGACTCGATGGGAGAGACCAACGATTACATTTACATAGGAGTGGTCTTCTCCTTTCTGCTTACCCTAATTCCTACCTTCTGCCGCCTATGTGAGGTAGGAATCAATGCAGAGTTGTGCCTCTCAGTGTTTTCATTCTGATCATGCTTGCAGATTACCCTCGGCAGCGATGCGGAAAAGGCCAGCGAAATAAGTTACTTGTACATGCCACAGCTGCTTTGGGAGAAGTCGTCGGCGTCGCTGTTCAACCTATTGGGCTTTGCCTTCGGTGAGGCCCAGTGGGAGCGCACCGTCCTGGCTCTGGGCTTTGTCCAACGGCTCTGCCTGACCCTCATCCTGTTTACCATATTTGCCGTTGCAGAACGAACATTTAAGCAGCGATTCCTGTACGCCAAACTCTTTTCCCATTTGACGTCTTCACGACGGGCACGTAAGTCCAATCTACCGCATTTTCGACTAAACAAGGTGCGCAACATCAAGACCTGGCTGAGTGTGCGATCATATCTTAAGGTGAGCTTTCATAGTAGTTTTAATAATAGTAGAGGAAAATATGACGACAAGTATATTGCACATATCACGGGAAGAATATCTTGAAATTAAATTTAAAATATTGAAAAATATAAAATTTTTTGTGATTTTCTGTAGAAACGTGGTCCACAGAGATCCGTGGATATTATTGTGTCTGCTGCCTTCATAGTCACTCTGCTTCTACTAGCATTCCTCAGCGTAGAGTGGCTCAAGGACTCTGTGCACCTCCACACGCACCTGACCCTGGAAGCGCTCATCTGGTCGATCACCATCGGAATATATCTGCTGCGCTTCATGACACTAGGCCAAAAAATCCAGCACAAATACCGCAGCGTGTCCGTGCTAATCACCGAACAAATCAACCTGTATCTACAGATCGAACAGAAGCCCAAAAAGAAGGAGGAGCTGATGGTGTCCAACAGCGTGCTCAAGCTGGCGGCTGATCTGTTGAAGGAGCTCGAAACGCCATTTAAGATCTCTGGCCTCAGCGCCAACCCATATCTATTCACAACCATCAAGGTAGTCATACTTTCGGCCCTCTCGGGCGTGCTTAGCGAGGTATTGGGCTTCAAACTGAAGCTTCACAAAATCAAGATTAAATGAACCCCATGACGAAAGTGAGCGCGCAGAATGAGCATATTTTGTAGTACAACTTTTTCGAAACGCTTATTAAAAGAAAATCTACAATTAAACATACATTTAAATTAGTTTAATGTAAACATTTAAGTGAGCCAATGTTCATGTTTGTCAAGTGATTGTTTAGCAGCGTTAACAAAAATCTACTACTGACTACGTAAATCAATATGCATTAGTATTTACCCACCATACACTTTCTAGAATCTAGAGCGACCTGCACAATCACAAATCATGTTAGCTACTTAAATTGTTTAACGAATCGTATTAAGTTCAAAGAACTTTAGACATAAAATTTATGCACCCTCATGGTTAATCTATTCTCAGTCTCATGTTCAATTCCTACACCAGTCGCAGCTACAGTGTTGCAATTAATAAATGTTTGAAAACCATTTAAAGTCGTTCTTGTTTATGTAAGCTGATTTCAAAGCAATAAGAAGCTTGGAGCAGTATTTCAGGCTATACTAATAATTTGTAACGTTGTTATGTTTGTCATGCCTGATTTTTATTGGTTCACTTGTTTCATTTTGCTCACTTGTTAATTTTTTTGTGTATTATACTAATGTCAAACATGCTTCGCAATCACAGAATTCCGATAATATTGAATTTTAGGTAGAGATACATCGATGCATCATTCAACAGGTTTTACATCGCAGATATTTGCAGTCCAAATCGCTTCACTAAACCTACTTTACAAAACTCTACACATTTTAATTGATGCTAAGGCTTTTTAAAACTGCGAAAGCAATTACTTTCCGAAATGCTGATTATTAGAATTCTGGTTTCATTCAAAAGGGATTTGGTTAGTGTTGTTTTTGATTATTTCCAAAATATTAATAGTTCCGGTACCTTTCCTATCAATTTCACGAACTAAAGCCCCGTTTTTATTTAAATCGCATTTTCCTGTTTCGCATACTACCTATACATTTACCCCTAGAATATTTATTTTTTTTTATTTCATATTTTATCTGATTGTTTTTGCTCCACTTTTTAGAATTAAAATTTCAAATTTAAATGCCTGCGCTGGAATTTTGGCAAGCTTATTAATATTATTTTAAATGAAAATATAATTCCCTCAAGGTGTTAAAATAAAACAACAATTAATGCTTGACTTGATTTTTTATAACTTTACACTCAGTTGAACATTATTCAGTAAATATTTTACTTAAAACTAATAAATGCAACAGTTTCGACATAAAATCTGGCATTAAATGCCTGTAAATGCACCTGCTCCCCGAGTTTGTATGCCATGGCATGGAAATCAGATTTACATGCGGAAAACTCCAAACTTGGTGTCTTGCCCTCCGTTGTTCAGGGCTGCTTTCAGGCTCAGGCCCAAGACCTGGCGTGTGTTGGCAGGATCGATAATTCCATCATCCCAAAGGCGAGCCGTACTGTAGTACGGTGAGCCTTCTGACTCGAACATCTCTACGATAGGAGCCTTCAGCTTCTGCGCCTCCTCCTCACTAAACTCCTTGCCGGCTCGCTTCCGCTGATCCTGCGTGATCTGGGCAAGAACATTGGCCGCCTGGGCACCGCCCATAACGGAAATGCGCGAGTTTGGCCACATGTACAGGAACCGCGGCGAATAGGCACGTCCACACATTCCATAGTTGCCGGCGCCGTAAGATCCACCAATAATAACGGTGAACTTTGGCACATTTGCACAGGCCACTGCGGTAACCATTTTCGCTCCGTTCTTGGCGATTCCATTGGCCTCCGCGTCGCGCCCGACCATGAAACCTGATTGGGAGAACATATTGCAGGTCAGATTGTATCCTGATAATGTTCTACGTCAAACTTACCCGTAATGTTTTGCAGAAAGACCAGGGGAATCTTTCGCTGCGCACACAGCTGAATAAAGTGGGCGCCTTTGAGGGCACTTTCAGAGAAGAGAACTCCGTTATTCCCCACTATTCCCACGGTGTGACCGTAGAGCTTCGCAAAGCCACACACCAACGTCTCCCCATACAGCTTCTTAAACTCCGTAAAGCGACTTCCGTCGACAATGCGGGCAATAACCTCGCGCACGTCAAAACTCTTGGTCAGATTGGGGCCGACAATGCCGTACAGCTCACGAGGATCGTAACGCGGCGCTTCCACAGCCAATGTCGGATTAGCATCTCGGAAGTTTGCTTGACTGGAGTGCACCAATTGGTCATTGTAGGAGTTGGTGCCGGGCAAATTTAGGTTGCTCACAATCTGGCGGGCAAGATACAAGGCATGCTCGTCATCAACGGCATAATGGTCCGTCACGCCCGAGGTTTTGCAGTGCAGATCCGCTCCTCCAAGATCCTCGGCGGACACCTCCTCTCCAGTGGCTGCCTTTACCAGCGGCGGACCAGCCAAGAAAATTGTTCCCTGCTTCTTAACTATGACGCTCTCATCGGCCATAGCTGGTACGTAGGCTCCTCCAGCCGTGCAGCTGCCCATGACAACGGCGATCTGTGGAATTCCCTGGGCCGACATGGTTGCCTGATTATAGAATATACGTCCAAAGTGAAGCTTGTCGGGAAAAACTGCTGCCTGGCGGGGGAGATTGGCACCACCCGAGTCCACGAGGTAAATGCAGGGCAAGCGATTTTCGAGAGCGATCTCCTGGGCACGAAGATGTTTCTTCACCGTGATGGGATAGTAGCTTCCGCCCTTAACTGTGGCATCGTTGGCGACTACCACGCAGTCCGTACTAGAATTATAATAAACAGGTATTATATTGTCATAACGTAAAATTAAACTAGTTTTATCAGAATACTTAAAATTTACGATAACAGTTTCAAGAAAAGATACTTCACGTAAAGATACATTTGCTAAATATGAAACTGAATGCAAAACTTTAAGACATACCCACAAACTCGCCCCACTCCAGTTACAATACCGCCAGAATTAACCACTTCCTCGCCATACAATTCGTGTCCTGCCAGAGCGCTCAACTCAAGAAAAGATGATCCCTTGTCCAGCAGCAGATTGATGCGATCCCTGGCCAGTAGTTTCCCCCGCGAGGTGTGTCGTTCTATCGCCTTCTGCCCACCCCCAGACAGCACCTTGCTGGTGTAGCTGCGCAGCTCCTCGACCAGCTTTCCCATTTCTCTGGCATTTTCCTAGTTAAAAGAATTTCTAATTTAGCAATCATTGAGGATCAAGTGCGTATCTTATACCTTGTACTCGGCGGACTGTTTGTCGATCTCGCTGGGCAGAATGTTCGCCTCGCCAACGTGAAGGAGTCGCACCTGGCTGCGCAGCACATTGGAGGACAGAGAGCTCCTTAGCAGGGCATTGAACCGGATCATTTTATAGGCGGTTTGACGGGGATAACTGACTGGAATTTACCTTGCCGATGTTACGTCAGTATCGAGTTGTGTATGCGAGGTGATAGTGATAATAACCGCGCAACAGATGGTTGCGATGATCGCGAGGGGCTGCCAACTATCGATTGCAGAAAAATTTGTCATAAAAATATAATAAATTCGCTAGGGCTACAACATCTATGATCATAGCAGATTAGGTTTATTACCATTTTTGAACCTATTTTCTAGATAAAATCGTGTAAATTTTCCAATTGGAGAAATTTCTGGTTTGACCAACAGTTATTATTAGGATATACCTATACCTATAAATCCTATACCCCGATACAAGAATAATAATGTTTTTCGAAAGCAACCGTGAAAGAAAAAAGTAACTGCCTAAAAGTATGCTACATAGCCAGGATATACAAAAAATTACACTTCTAAAAAATCAATTATGTTTTTCTTTAGGCATTTTAAAGCAATAAAGATATCTATGTGTAACTAAAACATACGCCCTATTTAGAAATATGTACTTAATGGTAGGTAAGGTAAACGAATGGTATTCATTTGAGAACCAATTTGCTTAGCGTATTAGATAGGCCTTTTGCACTCTAGTGGGACCAATATAAGTAAGTGCTTAGTTTTTGGCAAGGAAATATAACGTATTTGTAACAATCTACATATTGCTGTATTAATTGAAATATATTTATATTTTGTATAAATGTATATAGTTTATATACTTTTTAAACTAAATTATTCTGAATTCTGTAAGTCCTGGTATCGGCGCACTATCGTCCATCTCTAAGGCCTATCGATAGCCATCCATGCCGACCTGCGCTGCGCGCCCGATGCATCAGTGTACATTTTACATCCCTAGCGCTCGTTCATAAGACAAATTGTCAGAAAACTAGCATTTCTTTGTTTAAGATCCAGAAAACATTTAGAACACACTCCTCGAGAGCCACGAACAACTTATACGGTGAGTTGACCAACCTATGAGTTGTCGCCCTTCCGTGGGGGGCTCCACTCTGTCCGTGTGAGCCAGTGAGCGTGCGTGCGTGTGTGTGGCTCCTAGCTCGTCGTTTTTTTGCAAAGAAAAAAAAAAGCCAAGAAGAAGAAATGGCAAAATCTAGAAGAAGCGTCAGCAGAAAAGAAAGTTCATCGGGAGCTGAGTGTGGAGTGTATGTGGCGATTTTAAAATAGCTTTGCCGAAAACTTCAAGTGCACACTTGAAGGAAATAGCTGTACACGGCGCGAAGATGCCGAGATGCGTCGGTGCCCATGTGTGCGTGCGTGCGTTTCGTTGTATATTTAAATGTCGCCTGCTGCTGTTCCCTCCTCCAAAAATAAAATTTCGAGCAAGCGTCCCGTTCTGAGGGTGCGCGTGTGTGAGTGACTGGTAATCTTGGCCTGCGAGTGTGTATGTTTGTGTACTTGCCACAGCCGCAAAACAGAGGCCGCAAAAATTCCACTGCATCGGCTAATCTGCCCCGTCATTTCCCTGTCCCGCCAGGCACACCCCGTCCTCCCTTCGGGCCTCTTTCCTTGCTGGAAAGTAAGGAAACCAAGAATATTTCCTAGGCTCGTTCGTGTCTCAGGTGTTCTTTTCAGATCGATGACGTCACCGCATGTGTCAACTATTTACGGTTTATCACTCAAGCCCCCGCACAGATGTGTGTGTCCGTGTGTGGGTCCGGCTACCAACAATTCGGAGACTTGTTTTTGTTTTCTTTTAGATCGAGTTACTATTTATATTGGCATAATTATCCAGTGGAGTCGCCAACGCAGCTTTCTGCTATTTTTTTTTTATTGCTCCGACAGCTTGCCGGTTTCATTTCGGCTTCTCCACTCGAACAAACACACTCGCACTCAAATTCACATTTACGTTCACACTCTAGCAGCGGATTTGGCTCATAATATTGGCATGTTTATTTTTTGCTCAGCGACCCAAGCGACTGGCTTAGTGTTGTTGCCATTGTTGACACACTTCCACGGAGGAGATTGCTTCCCATTAGCGAAATTTAAATATGGATAAAATATGACGGATGATTAAGTGGGAGGCCCCATTTTGGGCAACTGGCCCCCGTTTTCACTGCTGTTCTGGCTTTTCCCTGTTCTGCTTAATTAGTTCGTAGCCAACTTCCGCTGCACCCACCCACACTGAAGAGTACAAGCGCGATCACACACACACACAGATACACATCGAGAGCGGCCGACACTTAGAAAAACATTATTTTCATCCGTAGATTTAAATTTAAAATATACTTTTTTTAAGATTTCAATAAGAGGGTAGTTGACACTAAGAGGTACCTTTCCGTTTTAGTTATTATACCCTTGCAGGGTATTATAATTTCAGTCAGAAGTTTGCAACGCAGTGAAGGAGGCACCTCCGACTATATAAAGTATATATATTCTTGATCAGTCGATCTAGCCATGTCCGTCTGTCCGTCTGTCCGTTTCTACGCAAACTAGTCTCTCAGTTTTGAAGCTATCTGAATGAAACTTTGTAGTTAGCCTTCTATATACTCTCACTCGTATATATATAAAATTTTATGAAAATCGGACTACTATATCATATAGCTCCTATAGGAACGATCGAGAAATTAATACAATTAAAAATTATAACTTTTTCGGTTTTCAAAAGATTTTATTCAAATTTAAGGCCATTTTATATTAGCCTTAAATTTTGTGTCAAATTTCATGAAAATCTGCCGACTATATCATATAGGTGCCATACAAACGATCGTTTGATGTAGAGGAAAAATGCAAATCTGTGAATGTAAAACTGCAAATATAATATGTATAGGTGAATGAAATGAAAGCAGGTATTACTTCATTGTTTTTTAACACAAATATATATAATTTATATTGTATGGATTCCTATTCATAGAAGTTCTATCTGCAAGGGTATATAAACTTCGGCGTGCCGAAGTTAGCTTCCTTTCTTGTTTTTTTTTTTTTTAATTTCGCCACTCACACCCATCTGGTCGCTAAATCATTGCATACTTTTGAGCACCTGCGTAACTTTCTGCTAGCTTTATAATTCCCAACCTTCAAATTAGTTTACAATCTGAAGGATAGACCGAAGGATTTAACAATAAAGGAAGCTGCTGAGGCTTTAATTATAAAATATAAAAGATATTTTTGTGTAAATTTTATATCTTTTTTTTTTTTAAGTCCCGCTCTGAATCCTTCAAAAAAGCCGACGAACGCGGAATTCGGACCGTGTTATCCTGTTTTTTCTCTGTGCAACAATCTACTTGTTGTATTTGGGGCATGGCTATTGTTGTGCCTCCTGCTAGTGGGGAGCACTTAAATCAATAAAATAGCAGCAAATCGCCCCGCATTCGAATTGGAGTTCCGCCCTTTCGGGTCAATGCACTTGGAATGCTCACACACACAGGCACACGAAAGGTGGCGCGCATTACTATACTGAATCGCTTACGGGCACAAAGCGTGGACGAAGTGAGTCGGTATATTTATAGGCTGGCTCCCAAATGCCGGCTAATTCTTTATCTTGGTGGCCCACGTTCTATGTTCTCTTGGCCCATGTTCTATGTCCCTGCTGGCCAGGCTGACATTGATAATGCCAATGAGTAATCTTCATCTGCTGCTGCTGCTGCTGCACAGTGACGCTGGCGTTAGGGCAGGCACCGAAGCGGAGCGTTTACAACGCGTCTCGTCGGAAAACAGTCCAAGTTCATTGTTCGCCTGCTGCGGTCTTTGCGGATTACTCTTCACTCATTTCCCGTTTCTCCGATCGCTTTTCGGGGTTCTTGTAGGTTTTCAAGATAAATCCAGAGAACCCTTATCCCCAAAGAAAAAGAATAAAGTTAACTTGCCCCGTCCGCTAATGAAAGATTAATTTGATTTATTTTAAAATTTATTACAAAGAAAATCCTAAAGTTCGGATTAATTTCAAAGCTATACAAACTTCTTCATAACACACTATTCATAGGTTTTTCCTTAACCTTTACAACCTTAATTTTCTGTAGGAAATATATGTATAAAATTTAACTCTCAAACCTTATAGACTTTAGACGAGTATAAAAAGAAAACTGTCACATTCCTGGAAATTTAACGTCGCAAAATCTACAATTTTATTGGTACGAAAAGTGCATCGTGCTAAGTAAGAGCTCCTACTGATTAATGTTTGCATTCCGGTAGCTTAGATAGTCGGTTCTTCATTCGAAAAGAGTTTTCGTTTGGCTCTCGAATCTATACAACCCGCTAAACAACTTTCATTGGTGTGTCGGGCGAGGAATAGCCAGGCTGCAGATTCGTGGAGTGAGTGTACAACGGTAACAAGTCCAATAACAATCATTTGCCGTTCCCGCTTGCCGTTTGCTTTTGCTGATGATTATTATCGTGATCTTGATATTGAGCACGCACATGGGCCACGCTTGAATGCATCTAGAGCCAAAACAATTATTAGCTGGCGTAATTAAGAGCCGTTCATGGCAATAGCACTCCCACATGGGATTAGAGGCGATGCCCACAGAGCTCTAACCAGTCGATTTTATGTTTTCAGTACCGCTTAAGAAACCAGAGGACAACACCAGCATCATGGCTGTTAACGTGTACTCCACAAATGTGACGTCAGAGAATCTCTCGCGGCACGACATGCTGGCCTGGGTGAATGATTGCCTGCAATCGCAGTTCTCCAAAATCGAGGAGCTTTGCACAGGTAAGTGTGTGATTAATTCATCCGGAAGGCATTCTAATTGGGATGGACGCACCTTCGCTTGCCATTTTAGGTGCCGCATACTGTCAGTTCATGGACATGCTGTTTCCCAATTCAGTGCCCGTGAAGCGTGTCAAATTCCGAACAAATCTGGAGCATGAGTACATACAGAACTTCAAGATATTGCAGGCGGCCTTTAAAAAGATGTCTGTGGATAAGGTAAGATAATGCATGTTAGCTTTTAATTCATAGTTCCGTTTAATTCGAGATTTTTCATTTGATTTAAACACACACTTACACAAAAACCCGACCTAATTTCGAGACTATGGAGTGGACTTGCGGCGACCCGTACCCTTGTATATTTAGCCATGAGCAGCTTCGACTGTACTAATATAACTTTATGTGTGTTGTTACTAAACTGCAATTTCCGTTACAAATCAACAACCCAATCAACCCGCTTCAAATCAACAACTGCACAGATCATACCAGTTGATAAACTGATTAAGGGACGCTTTCAAGACAACTTCGAGTTCCTTCAGTGGTTCAAGAAGTTCTTTGATGCAAATTACGACGGTCGCGAATACGATCCCGTGGCCCAGCGAAGTGGTGTCAAGCTGGGAAATGGGAACGGCAACGGTCACGGCAGTAACGGAGGAAGCGGCGTGGGCAGCAGTAACAACGATCTCCATCTGATGCACCGCCGACCCCTGCATGCGCCCGCTGGTGGTGTCAGCCGAATGCCACCACGAGCCATTGCTCACACCGGTACGGGTATGGACAGGGACAGGGACTGGGCTCTGGCCAGTGTTGCGGTGCTGGGAGCCGTCGAACAATATGTTTATCATTTCATTTTTGAGTTGCGAATTGAACGAACGTGAAGCACGCAGCGGAGCCGAAATAAATCGATCGATCTGGGATGTGCCACACCAAACATCACTCCACACACACACCGCACTGATCCCAAGCAGGTGGAGCACCTCTGACTACCCAACAAGCACACACATTCAGTCGCATCCTAGCACAAAACACTCGATGGGTCTGTTTGTTCTTGTCCCGCCTGCCAACCCACTAAACCAACCATTATCCTCGTATTCAGTGATGGGAATGATGTTGTTAATATAACTGCCAAGGTTCTCAAGATTTAGTTTGTCAAATTTGTCTCTGATTCGCGTTAAATGTTCCAATTATTTCAAAGAATAATTTGTATGGAACCCCAGAAGTGTTTTTCCGTTTTAAAGCAACTTATGTATAGCATTTATACACATTTATTTCCGAAAGATAACAGGAATTGAATTATAATTCATAACCATCTGAAATATGTCGTCCGCTTATGCTATTCTGTTCCTGATTTATTAGAGGGGTTTTTTCCATTAGAAGGTTGAACGTAATCAAAGGCCTTAAACAACATAACATGACAGCTTTAAAATCGATAAAAATTAAAAAAAAAAAAATCGATAAAAATACCTTAAATTAATCATATTCCCATTACTGATCTTACCGAGCAGATTTGTCTTTAAATGTTTATCTATAGGAATATCGCATAAAGCTTTCACTGTTCAAAAAACATTCTGTAACCTCATTCTTTTTGTAGTATTGTATCCTTAGTTTGTTCCCAGTGCATTTGGTTTCACCACACACACTCACCTTTCTGCATATTTTTCACACATTTACTTTTAGATTATACCCATTGACAAATTGATCAAAGGTCGTTTCCAAGACAATTTCGAATTCTTGCAATGGTTTAAAAAATTCTTCGATGCCAATTACGATGGCAGGGATTACGATGCCAGTGCGGTTCGCGAGGGCGCCCCGATGGGCTTCGGTTCCGGAGCGGTGAAGTCCCTGCCCGGTACTGGCTCCAGCGGTGTGGCCAGCAGCTACCGGCGTGCCCCACCGGCAACGACGCGTCCGTCGGCGACGACATCTGCAGTGAAGCCCAGTATGTTGTTTTGGTTTGGTTCCCAAGCTGTATTCCCCATACCCCAAGCTATCCCTCCTCACATCTTCATAATATACACAATCTACATAATCACATGCTGTGTCCTACGTAGATCGCTCCCAAACCTCTTAACAAACTTAATGCACCTCCAAAGTAAACACAAACAAATGAAACATCAAAAGTTGAGCCGACTGTTTTAAGTGTGCTTCACGTTTGTTAAATCCATGAGCTTTTACCATCTGCCGCTACCATCCTGGCGGGTTCTCTTCATACTAACTCTCTCGTTTCCTTCAGCCGCCTCCAAGGTGATTTCACGCACGAACAACGTTGCGCCAGCGAGCAGAGTAACCACCGGCGCTACTGGCACGGTAAAGAAGAACGATTCAGGAAGCTCGGTCAGCAATCAGCAGATCGAAGAAATGTCCAACCAGGTGAGTGATGATGATGAAAAAATTAAAAAACATATGCTAATAATATTGAGTATCAGGTCATGGAGATGCGCATAAACCTGGAGGGATTAGAGAAGGAGCGTGATTTCTACTTTTCCAAGTTACGCGACATTGAGATTCTGTAAGTCAACTTTCTCTAGTCCTAGACTGGACGGAATCCTGATCTAATCGACCCCATCTCCTCCCTTTTTAGATGCCAAGAAGCTGATGACGCCGAAGGGCATCCGCTTATTCAAAAGATTTTGGACATCTTATATGCGACTGAGGTAGGTCATGTTCGTACACATAGTCCACCGGAGTTGCAATCTTCTTTATCTCTTAATTTCTATTTCAGGATGGTTTTGCGCCGCCAGATGATGCACCACCAGAGGACGAGGAGTATTAATTTAAAGCAAGAAAGGAACAACAGCCCACGAAATTCATTTGATGCATATATATATTCAAAACATAAGTCAAGAAGTAAAATACAAGAGATAAAAGCGAACGAGAATAAATCCATACTAATACGTATAGTGCATGATTCCCGACGACGAGGTGTTGACAGCTACTGTTATGAAATCAAAGATTGTTTGAGTACTATAGTTGAGTCGAATATGCTGGAGTTTAAAACAATAGTATCCAGACAATATTATTTTTGTGTTACGCAGAGCTTTCTATTCTAAATTCTAGCGAACTTTTTCCGGCGCCCTGCTCTAGCGAATTTATTTAAAAACAACAACACCGAAACAAAATTTGTCGTACTTTTGCAGAGTGTAATAAAAACGATTCAAAGCTGAAACAGTTGCTTAACTTTTATATCAAGCACTTAAAATCAGTTGTAATACACCTATAATGTTGCTAACTAAGCTTGTTTTGCTGACCGATCATGTTTTGAGTGAAGTATGTATGTAGTGGGTCGATCGAGCCGAATTTGTATAATGTATGAACTTTCGATTTCTAATGTTAAATAATTAATGATTGGCGTCTGCATAACAAAATGATTATATATAATAAGTGATTATTTGCTCTCAATGATTCAGTTCTATGTTTATGTGTAAAAACCTGGTAGAACAACGTTAAAATTTTAAATAAAAAACGAGCCTCTTTATAATTTCTAAATTGAATAATATTTTTGATTTGTAGATTTCTTAAATAACCGGAACTTAAAAAATAAACCTCAGCCACCTATAAGGCATTGTAAATATTTTGTAATAATTTACAATTTCGTATCAAAGACCTTATAATAACAAGATAAGCAACGTCATACGAGTTTTTACCCTTTCATTATGGTTCTATATCTCAATTTTCTAGGCTTTCTAGAAATGTTAAAAAAAACCGCTCCGGAGCCAAAGGCCTTTGTACGTATTTTATACTATAAAAGAAACCTTGGTCAATGCGCACAAATACACATTTTACGCTCGCAAATGGAAGGACACGCTCAAAAATTAGCAGAGATCAGAGAGTGATAATTTGGTCGCCAGCATGAGTAATTCTAAGGAAACCGTTGGTCATACTGGCTAAAGAAACATAAAGTAAGTATATGGAGTAATGTATGCCATTTGATAGATCATCACTGGAATAGAATTCTCTATTTGTAGTATACATTTGACGTGCTTTTATCTAGAATGTTGCTTGATTCGAAGTACAAATTTTTGTATTTTCGATTTTTACATAATAGAAGTGAACATGAGCTTATCACATTATGCTTAAACTATTTAACAGCTGTCTGGATGTGAGGTTGCTTGTGAGTGCCGTCGCAGAAGGGCCGATGTGAGGTTTGTTTACAATTGCAGAGCCAGTAGTCGCCCGTTTTCTCCACTTTAAAGCGAATGGGCCTGAAACAATTAAAAGTATTAGTTATAGTGCGATGTCGCTCCAACAAAGAAACAAACTATCGGGTATGGTCAGCGTTTTTACATGGGATAGAATTATTTTGAATAAATAAACTACGAAGCATTTACCATTTGTTCTAAAAGTATATATACAAACTTAAACAAGAAATGCGCAAAGCTATAATTTTGTCGTATGTACTTTGGAATTATAGTTGCCAAAGAATCTGTTGTGGACAAAAGCAAGTATTCGTCACTCCAACATTCGATATTAATGAGATCTTCAATGGATCAATTCAATTTGATTCAATCAATTGAATTTGAGAAGGCTTAAAATCATCAAAACTTTTATCCTCAGTTAAATGTAAACAAAGTTGGATCAACTGGCATTCACATGTCGTCGAACAAAGTACATTGTGGTGAGGACTTGCCTAAAAACAAAATGTAATATGTTGCAATTGTATGCAGCTATTAATTAGAACTGAGGCGGGGTCAAAACAATCGTTTGTGGACTTTCATGGCTTGAATTTATAATTCAATATTATATATTATAATGACATACTCTTACCTTTGCTTGATCTTGAGGAACTCATTCTTGTGCATGCCGTCGCATAGGGGCTGAGATTTGGACTTGCCGCACAGGCACCAGCTGTAGGTTTTTTCTGTTGGCGGGGGTCGTTGAGTTGTGGTTATGTAAACACACCTGGAGATGCCCGGGTTTTCAGAGCTGAGTGAAACGTACCTTTGTCCAGGCTAATTTTGAAGGGTCGCTTGTCGAAGATGGCCCCATTCTCCTTCTGCAAAACGGCTGTTTGCTTGTTCTCTAGCAGGTTCTTCGGAATTGTTTTGGCGCTAGCTGCAGCTTCTGACTTGGCCCTAGAGTTGAGGCGCACCTGCTGTGGATATATTTACTTGATGTTCAAAGGAGGTCTGCTATTAATATTGATTGAAGTACCTGTAGCATCAAGGACGAACGTAAGTTTAGCCTTAATATCATCGACATGTTGGCGGGTTGATTATTTATTTATTTTTTTTTTTCTATTGCAATCTGCTAGTGGTGGCCCATGAAAGTATCGATATAAGTCGTTCCTCTTGGCTTATCGATTGCTGGTTTAAAACATTGTAAATAACTAATCTTGGTTCGCAGTAAACAAAAAATAATATTACATGAAGAGTGCTTGAAATCAAAGCATTATTTATAAAAACGTAAAAGATATAGGATTTTGGATGTTTATTGCTGGGGATTCAGTGCTGCAAAACGTTGCCTTTGATGGTAATAGAAAGCTCTGCTATCGTTATCGGTCCCCAAGGTCGAATTTAAAAAAATTTGATTTCACAATTCCAAAATGCTTCATTGATAAGAGGAGATAGGATTCGGATGTGCCTGGCAGGTACGTAGTTTGCCACTATCACAACTGCTCATCTGAATGGAAACTCGTACTCGCTGGGCGCCAAATGCTGCTAGCTGGCAAGATACTCCAGATAAGACTATGTATTTATCAAGCGGCCCCGTTAGACAAGCTGATTAGCCCCTGGCCGCTCCGAGATCTCTACGTAATACACTTTATTTTATACAAATACAAATACTATGGTGTCTAGAACTCGTCGTGGAATGGGTAGAACTTGTGTCCGGCCATTCCGGAGAACGGCACCGTGCGCTGGCCCGTGTGGTATTGCTCCATACTCCGAAAGTCCTCTGGACTCAGCTCGAAGTCAAACACCTGGAAGTTCTCCGCGATGCGAACCTTGTTCGACGACTTAGGCAGCGGCACCACACCCAGCTGGACCAGGTACCGCAGGCAAATCTGCGCCGTGGTCTTGCCGTACTTCTTGGCCAGCTGCTGGGCATGCTCGTCGTAGATGAAGGGCGGCCACTGGCGGGCCGGCTGTGGGCGAGCCAAGGGGCAATAGGCGCAGATGACTAGGCCGTGCCGCTTGGCGTGTTCCCGCAGTTGGCGCTGCTGGAATCCCGGGTGGCACTCCACCTGGTTGACTACAGGGCGGATTCGACAGTTCGCCAGCACCCGCTCGGTTTGTGCCGCATTAAAGTTGGAGAGACCGATGCTTCGCGCCAGTCCGAGGTCCACAAGCTTCTCCATCTCTGCCCATGTGTCCAGGTAGTCGACGTCCGTCAGCTCTAGGGTGCCGTGGACATTGCTGTCGTTGTGGAACTTCTGGCCCACCGGCATGTGCATCAGGTACAGGTCTACGTAGTCCAGGCCCAGGTTGCTCAGACTCAGGCGGCAAGCGCGCTCCACCAGATCGGTGTCGTGGTGGATCCCGCCCAGCTTTGTGGTCACGAAGACGTCGTCGCGCGAGATCACTCCCTCTGCGATCTTCTCGGAGATCGCCTGTCCCACCTCCGCCTCGTTCTCGTAGACGAAGGCGGTGTCTATGTGCCGGTAGCCGACGTCGAGGGCGTGACGCGTAGAGTGGTACGCGTCCGACTCGAACGACTTCCAGGTGCCCAGGCCGAAGATCGGCATATCGCGGCCGTTGCTCAGCTGGATGGTGGGAGACAGATTGGTCATAGTGTGTCGGATGCGCTGATAATTAGTGGTGTGCAAATTGAACGCTTCTGGGTCGCTGTGATTACGCTTCGGGTCTCTGTCTGGCTGCTCTGGGACGGTAATCTGTTCCAGCACGTCGAAGGCTCCGCGGATAACTGTTGGCCCGCTCAGCCGGTTTCGTTGATTTTGTCACGGCGGGCGAGCAGCTGCTGTGTCATCCGATGGCGTCATTGATGGCTCGCGGTTATTCCCAGCGAGCGAAAGCTCATTTTCCGAGCTTTTCGGCGCGCATTTTGAACTCTAAAATTCGTGAATATCTATTAGTTGAATACACCTCAAAAATTACAACGAGGTGGTGGGTAGAAATAAATATAGATCATGATTTTATGAATTCATACTTTCTTCACAGTTTACAAATTTTAAGGAAAAAATAGTCGCATTGACAAATTTTAATTGAACGGAAAAGTAATCTTTGCTTAAATTTGAATTGACTTTGTTAGTAATACTAGTTATCTTTCTCCATTTTAGTAATGACAAGTTTGTATTATACTTTAAAATAAGTAATCACATAAAGAAACATATAAAATATATTTATACTCTTGACACCGAACCAAAATTGGCTTGGAAATTTTTACATCTTAAATTACATTTACTGTTACTTCGGTACTTCACAAATTGCATTGCATACTTTTAGATATTTTTTCAAGGGTTTAAAAGCCAAAATAATTTCTGAAGCAGAACAGATTTATAAAATTAAGTTATATTTTAAATAAATATTTTCGATAAATAGTTACATTTATGTTGTAATAACTTTTTGATCGTTTCCTTTTTATCTAGTATTCTTTATAGATCGAGAAATGACTCATTCACTGTGTAAGTTTTTGAGTAAAATTATAAAATAATACAAATTATTTGCTTCTTGATTTGTATGTACGGTATTTTACTTCATGTATCCATGTAAGCTATTTTCCGGTTTATAATTATAGCTTTAATTTTTGAAGTTTTAATTAATTTTTCATAGATAATAAACGAAAACCCCGATTTTGGAGAATCCTTGTTAAAAAATATTGCTGAAGGACATAGAGACCCTTTTACTAATTCGTTGGGGAAGGTACAATTGAGTTTTATAATTAACAACTTTACTTAAGGGGTTACATACAGTTAGAGGGCCAAAAAAAGTGAATTTTTCAGAGCGTTTTCTGAAGAAACTTTTTAACTTATTGATCCCAAACTTTATACACTTATTATAGTATCTTTTAAATGTATTTTAAGAGTTAGAACTAGTAAATATATAATATAATATGTATGTGGAGAAGAGTTACACCTGTTATCCGGGGGCTCCTCTTAAAAAAGACGTTTTGCGGTGACCACTATATGTCGGAACTGGATCATCCGAAATTAAAAAACAAAAAAGATTTTGTTAGAGTAATGTCAAAAAAATCGATTTTTCGCCAAAATTTCCGCCTTAAATTGTTTATAAAAAATAAACTATTTATTGGAAAGAAAAAATCTTCGAAAAATTTCTAAAAAATATATTTAAGAAGGTCGTGTTAAAATTTGAGACTAATCGGGCAAGGCGTTTTCGAGCAATGTTGGTCACCGACTTTGAAAACACCATTTTGAGAAAAACACGTTTAAAGTTTGGAATGCACATATACATAGATAGGAGCACTTTACATAGAGCACTGTGAAACGACTTTTTCAAATTTACTTATAACTTAGGAAATATTCACCGGAACTAAACGAAACTTTCTTTGTATATTCTTAAAAATATTTACATTAAGAAAAAAAAAAAAAAAAGAATATTTTAAAAATTCTAACTGTATGTAACCCCTTAAAACATTCATTGGTAATATTACTAAAAGCTATTTGCTTTGACTAGAGGCTAAATACCCTTAATTCAGGTTTTAGCAGCAGTAGTCCAATTTATCGCACTTCCCACGACATGGTTTTAGAAATATTTATCGAACCTATCCGATTCAAGCTGTGTGATTTTCTGGTTAGTACCGTCTTTAGAATGTCTTTTAAACATTTAAACATTTGACATTTTACCTTATGTTTAACTTCGCCTTGGTCCTTTCGCAGAAGTGTCCGTCTTTTGTTGGGACGGGACCTATTTGTAAAAGAGATTACACTTTGTGCTTTTCTATATAATAATATAAAATAAAACCAATAAAGGCATCTGATTTTGGAAGGCGAAGTGCGTGTCACAAATTAATACCGCTAACATATTACCACTTCTGACACCTCGGGTGTTCTCTGAAAATCACCTGAAATTTTTAATTCTGTAAATATGAGTATACTTAGTTATAGGTTTATATGTAATATATGGGTAAAGTTAAAAAAAAAAATAAGTACAATTATGAAAAATCGATACCATTAGAAGAGACATAAAGACAAGACGAGCTGCTAACACATAAATCTTTATTCGAATATTAGTTAAGTTCAAAATGTTAGACATTCAAAGATACATGATGGTTTACACTTAGTTTCAACATTGAAGGTTTGCTTTAAAATATTTAGTTCGCTTTGCATAAATCTCACTTGGCTGATCGCAATATGGGTATACAAGTAATTAGCATAAGTAATCTGGTGGTTAATGGGGCTAAAAGATCTTGCACAATATGAATGTTATTAACATTAGGTTTATTTTATTTTTGTTTTGTGTTGCCGTCCTGCTGGGAGCTCCTTCGCTCCATAAGTTACTCTATGGGGTTCAGTTACCTCTAAGTTGCTTGTTGGTGTTGTCTTCTTACTGTGAGCTCCGGGGAGCGTTCTCGCTGGTACTCCTTTACGAACTATTTACTCTATTTCTATTTCACTATGTAGTAGGTAAGTAAACTTGAAGATTGTTTTGCGTTAGACATGTAAACACTGATTTGAACATTTAGTGGCTATTACTAGTGCAGCTCAGACAGTCCCTGGCTGGCTATAACTGATTGGCATTAGCTGTATTTTCGGGTAACGGAGGTATATACGTATAGCTTTATTAATTCTGTCTGTGTGCATCCGTTAGCTACCCAGTGTCGTTACGTTTATGCAAAGTGCCTAGGTAATATTGGGAAAATAAAACGTTTGTTTGTAGAGCTATTTTTGAGATTGTCAAATCGAATCACAAGTAAAATTTGGAATTTTCTTATTTGGAGTACTTGCGTATGTATATGTTAAATTGTATGTCCTATATATAGAATATACATATGTATATGTTGTTTGCTGAAAGTGCACAACAACAACAAAGAGGATTGCGTATTGTTGCTATTACTCTAGTAGTCAAAAATATAGATACATTTGCCACACGAGGGTTTTCCCGCTTTTGGGAAACGTGTTCCTAATACTATAAAAGGTCATAGAACTTACTTCTCATTCTACCTTTAAGCTAAAATAGTTGTGTTACTTAGGTCGATAGTTTCCTCAGAGGATTGGTATTACGTCTACACAATTCTATGGGGATGATTGTGACATATTCTACCCGTTCTCGTAGCACATGGTGTAGATAAAGTAATTAAAGGCTTTCGAACTCTGACTTACGAACTGTTTCGTACTAAAATTGGTGTTGCGTTGCATGTAAATCAATCCTAAATGTTTACATTCTTTAATTATCAAATAAACAATATTGTTTCGTCTGACCCGGCTCGCTACCTCTATAAAAGTTTCCTTGAAAATTCGTTTTCTCTTTGTATTGTTTGTATTTCTTCATTTTGTTTTATTGGGAGAAACCACTCGATACCTAATGTTTTGGATTTTAGTGAGGAAATAACTATTACATTACTCTATACGAAACTACACTCTATGCATTGTGGTCAGAATGGTTGGTTACATCTAAAAGTTTTGGATTTTATTAGTGATATATCGTTGTTTGAGAGACCTTTGTTTGGAAGAGGAGTCGGTTAAGAAAGGTAACTACGATCCTAGGGTTATCTACGACTTCTTACCGGAACTACTACCAATTGGTTCTTACCCAGAAGTCCCAATCTGAGCTTGGGACTCCTGGTATTCATAGGCCGATCGGTTCTGCATTAGCCTGACGTTGACACACAAAGTAATCACACCAAATATACGCATGCGAATTAATTTTACATACATATACATATGTACACGACTACAACTAATAAGGTCCCTCTCCAGTGTTTAATGCTTTTAATGCATACATATTCAATAGCATACTTAATGGGAACAGGGTATGAAATTTGTACAAAATAAAACAAATAATGATGTTGCGTAAATAAATATTAATAAATGGTTTTGTATTTTCGCGAGTCGCGCTACATAGGGGCGTAAAGAACAACCAAATGAAAATGATGGGGCGAAACTAAGGGTACAATAACTTATTCGCTAGGTAGCTTACTTGTTAATAACTAGCTTCAACTAGACTGTTTAATAGTAGGTTTTAGTTGGGGCTTTAAAAAAATAGATTCCATGCTCTCGGCTACGTTATACAATTATACAAATTAGTTTACTAGCTTGCGTAGGATTTATGTGGTAAAGTTTCGTAGGAAATTATGCAGTTAGTGCTGTTTGTTTTGATGTTGCCTCCTCTAAATGTTTAGTATCACACGCGTCCAAGTTTTGTTTGTATTCGTTTCGGCTCCCGCCGGGATTACCGAATTTCAAATTGTTTGCCATCTTTCGTTTTGTACTAAAGCAAAAAGTTTCTCGCTTGCATTGAAATGCATTTGGGGTTCAGTTCATTAGAAGATTGAGATAGTTTCCAAGTTGGGCCATAGATACGCCGAAGCCAATGCTAATGCGACTGCGACTGGGTATGTGGATGTGGATGAAAGTTGGTCCGGGCTGCGGGTGCTGGGGCCCAAATTGGCATCCCGCCCGGCTAAGCTCATAACTGTGCAGCTAATTGCAGTTTGATTAACACACACTCAGGGTTAGACACTTAATACACGCTACAAGCTAATCCGATAACGGGGCATTCGGGGCAGGGGCATGTGGCTTAGAGCTTTCTGGTGGGCTCCACCTTCTGGGACATGGCGGTGAGCACCCGCTGGTTGTCGATGACGCGGAAGCTACTGATGTACGACCGCACCTCGCCCTCGCTCTTGGGAGACGGTGGTTCCAGACCTGACATAAATTGAATTCAATTAGATGACTCTGCCTGACCCAGGGAAGGAGGCGACTCGTGGAGAGCCTATACACTAGTTTCCTTCCTTGGGCTTTTTAGAAAACGATGCTTACCCAGACTCCTGGAGCGGCAGAAGCGGATGGTGCGCATCGTCTGGGCCATCATGTGCATCTTCTCGAAGTTCACCAGGCCATCCAGGCTGGTCTTGTTGCCCTCGTGGGCGAAGGTCATGTCCTTGAGGAGCAGCGGCATAAAGGGAATCAAAGGCGGCTGCAGCTTGCCCACGAATACCCGGTATGCCCGATGGTTCCGGCTGGGATCGATCAGGGCCTCGAACTCCTGGAAGATCTTCTTGAATTTTGATGGGATCTTCTCCCAGGTCTGCTGCAGCCGGGTCACTGCCATATTGGAGAGACCCATTACCACGGCAAAGAAGGCGTTTAGATTTTGGTACTCTTTGCAACTGAAACGAAATTAAGGGGTTGTTTAGCAAGCTTATAAGTTGTTTTCCTTTCAGGAAGATAGGCAATCTTAACGGGATACTTACTAGGCCGCCAGCTTGATGAACTTCCGGACTAGACCGACTCGCTTGCTCAGGCTGGGTGTGGACACCAGCTCGGTGACAATCCAATACTGAACCTCGTTGAAGCGCCGCAGGAAGACATCCAGGTTGGCCGTGATCTGTGGGAGGAAGGAGGAATTCGATCAAGACGAGAACCTTGGGAACCGAAAGTTTGGAAATAGTTTCGAGCCTTCATTTAATTACGCCATGTTGCAAAGTCTGAACTAAGTTAATTTGCCAACAGATGACAAATGGCAACTGTTAGCGGCAAGAGTCTGACAGGCTAATTGCCCAAATGAGACTTGTGGGACTTTCGGCAAGTTGGACCCTCTCACCTTGCCAAAATGGTGCCGTCCGAAGGTGTGGTAGAGCAATTCATATTCGTGAACGGCCCAGAAGAGGTCCCACTCGAACAGGGTGATGTGGTAGGCCAGTTCCTTGGTGCTCAGAATTTCCAAGTCGATGTCGACGCCCTCCGTGGGGCACTCCTGCTCCTGTAGCTGTGTCTGTGGATGGAAATGGGTAAGGAATCTTAAAGACATCGCCGCCTCTAGGAAAACACTTACCAGCGCGTCCAGGTGATCCTTGACTGAGACAAACAGGCGGCCATTGAGCGAAAGGCCTGTTGGGATGCTTACATCGTTGTCTTTGAATACGGAGCGTTCTCCGTTTGACTTGACCTCCACCAAGACGAGGTCCTCGGGGCCCCGGTTCAGCTGCAGCTTATCGGCGGCGCAGGCCTTGATTAGCTCCGCCGTGGTGTGCATCGGGAAACGGAGGGTGCAGTAGGTGTGGTCGGCGCAGTAGACCCGGAAAATGACTGAAAGGCTCTAGCGTAATATAAGAATTTCCAACACATTTAGACCTTAAGATACTTACTATCATCGTCCGGCCGTATGACTGTCTTCGATGGCGTAGCATTGCCGCTGAAGAGGCAGATGGGTTGGCCATTCGGTGGCAGCTTCCACTTCTGGCCGGCGTTCTGGTTGCGGTCCTCCTGGTAGCGCGCCATTTGGGTGAGCACGTTGTGGATGATGCTAGTCTCCTCGTTGAGGTCCGGATCGGCCTCCACCTCGGCGGCCAGGTCCTCGATGAAGTCGCACACGCTGGGCTCCTCGAAGGCCGCGTGGCGAACGGCCATGACCCACTTTTGCATGAACTGGATGACGCGCTTCTTGAAGTTGATTATATACTCACGATCCTCGGGCGTCTGGGCGTCCTCGTGGGCGTCGCAATGGAAGGTGCACGGTGGTTAAGGGGAAACCAATTTCATTCGGGATTGGGAATCGGATTTAGAGTGTGATTTGCCAGGGTCAGCCAGTCCCAAAGTGGGTTTACTGTCTTGGGGAATCTGTTTATTGATTTCTGTCCCGCCCTCTGCCCCACCTTGTTGTTGTTCTTGGTGGCGCCTGCTTATTAAACACATCACGTATTTCGATGCAGATTGTGGGATTAGTTTCAGGCATCGTTGACCAGGGCTCCCCCAATGCTCCTTATCCCTGTTTCAGGCATTCCAAAAATGCTGACCCATCACCCTGTCGAAGTCATCATTGCGGCTTTTGTTTCGGACAAAGTTGAAATGTTTCCAAGGCCTGAGCCTTTGCCGAAACGGAAGTGTTGCTTGTTAGCGTTTTCTGCTACACTCGAGCCCGGAGCCAGAGGCCCGAAAAACCACCCACTTCCCGCGGCAGCCTAGCGCTGGCTGGGATCGGGGTCATATGTGGTGGCTCGCGTGCTGCCGGCACTTAAACTGTCGCTGAAATGCTCCCTATTCCAACCAGGGGAACGTGACTCGGGCGCGAGATGGACGAACTCAAGAACGGGGGCTTTTTTCTTTTTTGCATTTTTAAAGTGCACCCTGACCCAAGAGGAGGAGGATCTAGCTAAACGGACCTTGGAAACGCATGAAGTGCTATAGGGGTCGGACCTAAGGAGTACTATAGGCTAAGCTCTGGGACGTGGCTGGCATTGCAAGGACTGTCGAAAAGGTTTACGGCACACACTTTCGGTGATTTTTGTTGTTTTAAAAAGGATATTAATTGGCCAATTCATCAACCAGCTGCACAACGGGCATAAACACAATGTGCGTGAGCAGAAAGTCGTCCAGGAAGGGGTCCATTCCACCCACCGACTGGCCCAGTCGCGTCTCCAGCAGGTGCTCCAGCATCTTGGCCGGAGTGCCCGACATGACCGTGTATCTGCGTAGAATTTCAATTGGTTTATGGTTATAAATCAAATTATTAATCATAATATTTGAACACAGACGAAATGAAAATAATCCCATCAAGAGCAAACCCTTATACTATTTTATGAGTGTATCTAAATAAACTAGTTACCGCATTATAGTATAAAGATTAGGGTACTGATTTAATTTGAGCCTCGGCATTCCGTCACGACGGACTATGGCCATAAAAATGGACATGATGCCTTTGGCTTTCAATTAAATTTGGGGGCACGGTAAATTTTGATTGGACGGACACTCACTTGAATGCGGAATGCTGTCCTCGTTGTTTGGCCACGCGCTCAAGCACTAAAACATCCTTGCCGTGCTCCTGCAATCTCAGGGTATTGGCCTCCACATCGCGGAGTATGCGGTTGAAGTGTTCCTTATCCACGCGCAGCAAGTGACAATTGTTCTCCTTTAGGACAATGGTTGCAGCTCTGGAAAATGTAATAGTACCACAACATTCTTTTAAAGTGAAATTAACTTTCCGAAAGTAGAAACCTTTCAATTGACTCAATTTTCCTTTAATAAACAAAAAGCAGCTGCATTCGATGCGCGGCTGCATAAATAGCAATAAATATGAAAATGGACGCGTTTGATGGCATTTCCCCACCGCAGAGGCTAAAAGTATTTTAAATTGGATTTTAACAGCACCTGCAGTTGGCAAATGAACACGATCGATATGCGGAATTATTCACCAGAAGGCTGATATGAGCACAACGCGATTTATTATATTTGCTGAAGGCCTACAAGCTATCGGACAATTTTAATTAACCAAAAGCCTGGGCGGAAGCTTAAACTAGTTAGCAATTCAGATCAATAATTTAAAGTGCATTCTGGGGATATTAAATGTTATGGGAAGATGTAATTAAGGATGTTTAAATAGTAAAACGGAGAGAACATTAACATTAAGATGTGTAACGCCTAGACACTTATTATTGTAATGTTTTTATCTTAATCTTATTGTTGTTGGAGATTATAACAAAGCTGCTTAAAATGAAATATATTAAACATATAACAACATTAGGATTCAATAAATGTTTCAGAGTGCCTGGCGCACCTTCTCAATAGATTGTTTTGGTAAAAAATGCTTCCCTTTAAATCGAACTTTGAGCTACAACTTAATGACAATAATGATAAAAATAATGAATCTTTAAATAATTACATTTCATATAATATATAACATTAAGATGAGTAACGCCCATATCGCCCCAATCGAATTTTCAAAAACAATTATTTTAAGTATTTTAGTATTGTATCATATTTTTAAAACCTCGTTACCTGTTTACAAACTCAGAGCTAAAACATAACGATGTTGATTATAATTATAACATTAGGATCCATATCTTAAGACAACCCGGCGCCTTTTATTTATATATTGGCTTTTCTAAAACCAGGGACGAATCTGATAACAATAACATTTAATATCATTTACTCATGAATAAAGCGAAATTTACTTTGAAAAACTCTGAGTAGCTTCCCAAGAGGGATTTCACTTCGACGTTTCACCCTGTCACCGGAAGCCCTGCAATGACGTAGGATATCACCAATATAGTGAAACGAAATTCCCAGTTCCAATCAGTGAAATCAAGGCTTTCCCTCCTAAACAGGCTCCTGGGTCTGAGCTGACAAACAATCGATGCGAAGGCCATTCTTCAGCAAGCCTTTGATACATACTTAGTTCCTGCCTTTGCAGTTTAGGCAATGGCTTTCGGATTGGAGACGGGCCTTGGCTAATATTTTGTTTCAATTTTCAATTGTTTGCTGTAAATGGCACACAATGGCGCCTGTTATCTGTTGCTGTGCTTGTCTGCTGCTATCTGGTCCGGTGCACCACACCATTATTCGCCGTTCTGGCCTAGACTATTGTGTGGCTTTGCGGACTCCACAATGGTTGGGAAACCAAAAAAAAACGAAAAAAAACAGTAGAAGCATGGCACAAAGAGACCCAGAGTGTAGCCCAACTCAGGTGCTTAGCTCGCTAAACGGTCGTCGTCCGCCCACTTAAAAATTATTCAGGGGAAGTGATTCAACGACGGGGATGCCCCGTCCGTCACTCACCTGGGTGCGTCGTTTATCAAGGCCAGCTTGCCAAAGTCATCGCCGGTCTTCAGGGTGGCGACGGTTCCCTTGCCGTGTATCACAACATCCACAGATCCCTTGAGTAGGATGTACCAGGAGCGTCCTTCGTCGCCTTGATTGAACACTGCAGTGGCGTACATTGTTGTTTTTATGGTCGTAATGGGTTAAAAGCGTTTGGGGGATAAAAGTCGCTATTAGTGCTTATAATATTCTGGCATTCACTGGTTTATTGAGACATAATTAGTCCGGGCTTAATTAAAAAGTTTCCCAAACTTTTCGTCTGGTTCGCTCCTTGAGAGTCGCTGCCCCGCTATCTGCGGGGAGTTATTAATTCCGCCGCCCTATACTCACATATTGTGCCCGCCTGGGCATGAGCCTCGAACACGAATATCGACGACAACTCCCGCTTGATGCTGGTCGATAAATGGGAGAGGGCGGCTATGTGGACCAGCTCCTCGAACACCAGCTCCAGTTCCTCCGAAGTTCGTTCGTGCGACCTGGGTGTTGGCGGGAATAGGTCTTTAATTTCTGAACTTTTCCCCCTTTACATCATAATCTTTTCTTTGTGAGACTAATTATGGTGTGGTACTAGATACTAGTTACCTTTAAAATGCATTGATTCAAGTGAATTTTAAAAATTATACGAGTACTGTTCTATAAGGTCTTTTAAGCCCTTATTCTTCTTCCGCTACTTACGGCTTTCGCAGTATCATCCGCAGAGTGGCATCCGGACCACGCTGGAATAGAGCGCTTAGTGCCTCACGGATGTGCTCATTGGCCGCTCCCAGATCGTCTGACTGGGGCACTCCCGCAGCCGCTGTTCCGCCCTCTTCGTCCAGGCGAAACCGATAGAGAAAGCACTTGTCCTTGAACGGCTGCTCTTTGTTGACTGCAAAACAGGGCAGGATTAATGCGTGTGCCATTCGGGTCGACTAGAGCTTACCATGTGCGAGAACTCCCTCCTCGACGAGCGCCTGCCACATGCCCGCCGCCTGGGCGCGGGTGTGGACGATGGGCGAGAGGTTGACCAGCCAGTCGACGAGCTCGGTGCCGGGGGCACACTTGCGTATTAGCTTGCCGGATACCTTTTCGGACAGGACACTCGTAATTAGCATCATAAAGGCGGACTTAGCACACTCACCTTGCGATCCTTCAGACAGCTGGAGTTGTCGGCCACGAGTAGGGTGCGTAGGGCCCAGCCCATGCGGCTCATAGCAGGACTCGGCGTCTGCAAGGAAAGTTCACATTCTCACTCTCTGACCTTAGACTTCTTCTTAAGTTGCTACGCCTGGACTTTCCAGCCATCCGGCTTATGGGCCAAGTGTCAAAGCCAGAGGAAATGGCCAGAACGAGACCTTCAGCACCCGCACCCCCAAAGCCTCGCTCATGAATAACACATAAATATTTTGTAATTCCCTTGACAGCACCTCCTGGAGCAGCAAATTAACTCATTTGTCGTCGTCAATGTCAGGACATTACATTTATAATATTTATGTGAGTTTCAACGTGCTGTCGACTTTTTATATATATGACTCTGTATATATGAATCTGAATATTTTGTACTTACCTCGGTAATGGGAAGCGCTGGGTTGGGGTGGTCCGGGCTGAGGGGTCGCTTGGTGGGCGATGTGGCTGCGGCTGCTGTTTGTACGCCAGGACCAAAACCTAAAAACACACCCGACAGCAGTTTCCATTAATTAGTGTTATTTCAACCGAATGGTTGGTTTAAGTGCGTTTAATATGTTGATTCAATCAATGGACGCACTCAGTAATGGATTCCGCAACGTGAACCGTTGTTTGCGAATTGTGATTGATGATGAATGTATGTATGGAGTACAGATGAAATTATTATATCAATAAATCAATAATCAATCAATAAAATCAATTGAGACGCAATATAAGAAAGAATAATTGTCCGCAGTTGTTTCTATTATTTTTTATCGCCGGATTTATTTCACTTAAGAACTCTTTATTTTAAGTACTCTCAACTCTCTCCTTCACTGTTATCCATGTCAATATTATTGATTATGTTTACTCACCGTTCTTAAATTTGCAATTGGTGAAAATATCGTTCATCAACTCCTTGTTTTTCTGCAATTGAAATGGAATCGTAAATATCCATTAGTCTGTGCCGCACTGTTGTTGTCTTGGGTGTGTGTGATAAGTGCAATGCGGATTCCTATTACGTTGCTCATTTCAAAGGCCGTCGACTGCGGACGCGTCATCTGCCCACGCTGCAGTTGTCGTCGTCGCTTGACGGCGGCGGATGTGGTCCCAGCTGTGGCCACAGGGGCTACACCCGCTCCCGAACCCGCTTCCGCTGGCTCCTGGCTGTGCCTTCGGTAGCGGAGGAGGAGGACGCCCGAGGCCAGATCCTCGCCGGCCACAATCTGGGCGGACCAGCGCTGCCGGCCAGCTGCCATGAGCAGCCTTTAGCCTTTTCTTTCACTTGAGACTGGCGTGCGGGTCCGCAGGTAATTACTGCCAAACGTTGCTTCGCACACTGATAAGTGGGGGCGGGAAGTTGACAAATACATTCCAAGCGCCACCACTCGATGTGTGCAATTACTTATCAGCTAGGAGAGTTGTCAAAGCCCCTCGATTTTATTTTTAAAATTAACCCACTAAAGGTGGGAGCCCTGCAGAATTATTAGTTGATTTGTCATGAGAACAACAGAATCGCCAACAGAATCATGTTACTCTTATATTTTTTAAATATATGCATTACTAGATCCTCAATAGATCTCTCAAACTTTCTTCAGTGCATGGTGTAAGAATGCTCGTAAAATAAGTTAAGTACTTGCATTGCACAATAGTGCATACTTAAACCCATAAACTGACTTAAAAAAGTGAATATATCACGAACGACGCTCCCTGCGCTTGCTGTGGAAATTGAAAGGTTAACGAATTCCAGCTGATTCATTAGCTGACGATGGGTTAAAGGCCAACCCAAGTCGCTTGGCAACTCTTGAGGCTCTGTCCTCTGATAAGGAACAATAGCTGCGTTGGCGTCGTCGGCGACGCTAATTAAACGCGCTTTGCTTATCAAACGCACAGCACGCCAAAACTAGTGCCACCCACTGGGTCTGGAAGGGGTGGGTGGTAATGGGAGGAGGTTTAGGGGTTAGGTTGTCGCTGCTGGAGCCGGAGTCACAACCTTGAAAGCCAGGCACATTAGTTGAACTGTGTTGTTCGCGAGCGTGCCTGGTACTTTGAAAAATATTGCAAAAAAGCTTTGATTTTTATTTTAAGCTAAGAAAAAGTGGTAGAAATTCAATGGAATAAATAGTGAATGGGATTAAGAAGTTGACAAAGTCTCTACGGATATTTGGAGTTATTTATGACATCTTTAAGAGCAGTTATAGAATTAACAATATGTGGCAAGTAAATGTTGTGAAGTTTACCAATGTCTTAAAACCCTTTTAGATAATAGCTTTTTGATTATTTATTTAGTCCAGGTCCATATCCCATATGTACCATATTTTCCTTCCTACATCCTAAACGTCCGGTTATGTTCAAAAGGTTCTGAACGATTCCGGCGGCAATATTTATAATTAGTTTAAAAAAAGATTATTATTAATGTCATTTATAAAACTCTCAAACCACAACTCCATAGCCAGTATATGCAGGAAGAATATGAAGGAAGACTACGATTTAACTGCATTTAATGTTCCTTTCCTTTACTTAAAGACGTAAAATTCTTTGGCAGCTACCTGACCAACAAAGATAAATATCCGAAAAATGTCTCACAAAAGTAAATTGAGTGTCTATCCTCCTTCGAATTAAAAAGAAATTTACAAGAAGTGCCTGATAAAGTAATTTATCTGAACGAGCGAGACAACAAGACGCACACAACGCATTCCACTCGAAAAAGAATTTACAAGGAGTTTCTGTTAAAGCTATAAAATCTAGGAACTTTATATATATATTACTATTTAATAGTGAGTTCAGAAACCTACCCTTTGGCTTTCAGTTGTTTTCTTTCGATTCGAAAACTACTGATACAGAAAAATATCTCCTAATGAACTACATTCTTCGAATTCTAGTCCCTCTTGGTAACTCAACCCAAAAGAAATGAAATCTACAAAGACACATGCAAATAACTGCAGCGCTGAGGAGTAAGTCCTGTGGATTTTCTGAGAAGTGTATTCAATGAACACGGCTTCCAGCCACAGATGCAATTTAAATTAAGCTCTGTGACGTGCACTTTGAGACTCAAGTGAATTTGTCTCATTCCTCCGAGCCAAAGCCTTCAAAATCCTTTAGTGATCGGGCATCGCCCTCCCTCTCCGCTGGGAGCCTCCGGTGGAACGACTCCCTCGAGGGTTCGCATGTGCAACTTGTATTTGTGCATAAATAAATAACCACACGGCCATGGACATGCAACTGTGCATGCCCCGGGCAGTCAATGGGGCCGCCTGCAATATTTATGGGCTGGATATTACGTAGACCACATGTTTGGCAATGCCATAATGCCATTGTTGCTTGGGCGTCGGCGGCTAGAACGCGATTTGCGGGGCATTAAATCGCCCGAAATTAAATGCAAATATTTGGGAATCGAGCGGCATTGAATGGCTCTGAAAGTGGGACTCGCCAATTGAGTAATATTCGAATACTCAGTGGCAATCGGCGAGTTTACCGCAAGTGCCAAGTGTAATTTCCGCCATTGATTACGCCACGCCCAGGCGGCCATGCAAGACTCACATCCGCCCCCGGCTGGTCTACATTTTTTGCAATCCGAATCGCAATCCCAATGCCAATCCGAATTGGATTGGGATTGCTGGAGCGCTTGTCCGAAGTAATTGGCAGCCATTGAATGGTAAGTGGCCCTGCTGGCTGCTAGTTACTGACGGGTTTCCTATTCACTCTTGTGTGCCAGTCTGCATTTTGGTGAAACTGAACTGAACTGGTAATTAACCCGAAATTCTCTTTCACCCGCCGCCACATGGGACTACAATCGCTTTCTTTGGCATTTTCAATTTGCCATCTCGGGCAAATATTTGCGCACAAATCAAACTCTCTCGACTACGACGGAGGATGACAACTTCCACTAACTGAATGGCTTACTATACGAGAATTTCCTCCCATGTATGTACTCTTGGCTTTGCTGCAAACACTTTTCTTACTCCTTTTCAATTTTCCCCCCTGATTTTATCGCATTTACGCAGTGCCAGCGGCAGGAATATTCCCCAGCTCGCATTTTTATGGCATTGCAACCAGCATCGACTTTCCACTTTCACTCCATTGTTGCACACTGCGTATACGTGACATGTGGTGTCCTGGTGTCGCAGCTACTTTGTTATCGCTCGGTTCAGCCCGTGCCGCCTTTCGGGTTAGCCAATGTTGGCATAATATTGCAAAATAGTATATGCCCCAATTTGGGGTTTGTCTCCCCTCCCCCTAGGCTTTCCGCCCCTAACGAATAAGGTAAACACACATCGCACGTCGCATCCCCTGCCCTTGCGTGCTTGTGTGCGTGTGGGTCTGGTCCTTATACCTTTTGTGGCTGCCGCAGGGGATGACTTGGGGGCCCTGGTTGAATGGCATTGTTAGTGGGGTCTCCGAATTTATCAAGGAAATCCACAAAAGTCGTACTCGCATTGAGTTTTGCATTCTGACTATGTACCGGGAGAAACATTGTGGTTGGAAATAATGTAATTTTAATATTTTCGGAGGGTCATAAGTTGTGGAGAAGAAATTGAACCTCTTACTACTTATCTCAGGAAATAATGTGTTTATTGGTACTTCGAACCGGATATCCCAGTACTTTAGAGATTTTTTTTTCGTGTGGAATAGCTCATTCAGACAATTCGAGAGGATGCTGAGTTTAAGCATTTTTTAATTTGTGGGATCTTGTGAGTACGGCATTAGTTTTCCTCAGTGCTCTTTTTGTCGATTGTGTGGAATGCTCAAATATTTACAATTTGGCATATGTAAGCCATGTTGTGGCTTTTGGTTTGCTTTGGCTTTGGAAAATTCCTGCCTTGTGGCTTGCCTAATGCAAATACTCTTCTTCCTTGAGCCAAACGCACTTTCCATCGCAATTAATCATATCTAATAATTTACTTATCAAGCTAAGGTTGCTAGCCTTTTCAATTAATTAGCCCAAGTCCTAACTGAGCGGCCACATGCAATCCTTACATAAATATGATGCAGTGCACTTAGGCTGTCATTACACCATAGTCCCAGTCGTCGCACATAAACATAGATGGAACAAACGACTACTTAGCCGACAACAGAAACTAGGCTTAATTCCCCACTCTGCGGCAGAGCCAAAGCACTTAACACCGGGCACCCAAAGTGCCTGCCATGTGTTCGGGCTTAGGCCTAGAAATTCATTAGGAAAAAGCCCCTGGCATAAGTACGCCCGGATCCCGGCCCGCCCCTCCGAGCATCATTAAATGTTAATTGAAATTTTAATTAAATATTTTCGGAAATGACGCAGGAATACCGCAAATAGTCGAGCTCCCTGCTCAGCACATATTTCTGCATATCACTTCGCAAACTCAGGCACAGCTGCTCATCAGAGCAGATGGACGACTCCTTTGACAGGAGCGCAAATCGATGGGAGCCGTCAGTTAACCCGAAACCGTATGTCATCGCCGGAGCACTCACCTCCCAAATAAGTCGGAAGTCCTGCTGCTCCACGCGCAGCAGCTCGCAGGTCGTCTTCGTCACCACGGTGCTGTCCCGTGGCAAGTCGTGCAGTACGGACTCCCCGAAGGTGGCTCCCACGCCCAGGTTGCACAAGGTGACGGCGCTCTGCAAATAAATAAGGCCAAAGGTTCAGTTAGAAGGTGTCACTTGCGAAGTATATTGCAATTGTAAGAAATAAGCTTAAGTTTGCTTATTTTATTACCACCTAGAATAAGATCTTTGAATGATAGCGAACAAAGAACTAACAGAATACGAAATCAAAGAACATAGTACACTATGATCTTGTAATCCCAGTACTCTTTATATCCCACATTATACGACAAGTAACCAAATGAACACTGAGTAAGATAATGTATTTAACTATAACAAAGACTAGCTTTCAAAGAATGTGGAATCTTTGTCTTTCGGAATCAAGCTCATCTTATATTGCTTTAGTTTTTTATTATATATAATATATAAAAAAACAAACAACGACTTAGCTATGTAGGTTGTAACAATTGAAATTCCAAGGTAAAGACAAAAGAGAAATTCTTCCCTACGGTTATATTATACTAGAGCTGTATATCGAGAGAAGAATTTGATACATCGATCTAAACATATATATCTATATCAAATTAATAAACAAGATAAGATTACAAAATTTTAGAAAAACTGTAACAAATTGTTTTTAAATTGTTTTAAGACGTATAGTCTTCTCTTCCGAGTATATTGCTCCAGTATACTAAGGAGAATATATATCTAAAGCACATCTATCGCACTGTTAAAAGATTTATATGTATATTGATTTTTGCTTCAAATATAGATACAGTATCAATATAAATATATTTTCAGACATTTTAGGTTATACGATGTATTCGTGCATTATGATAGCTTGATTTTGGCTTCATCTTTTGCTGACGCCTTGAGCAATTAACGGAAATGCCCGCAATTTCTTTGCGGTGCCAGAGACAAACATTTGTTTAAGTCCCGGTAATCGCTCCCTGGTTGCAAATTCACAAAACCACCGAATGGTATAAGGGTTCGCCCAAAAAGAAGCCGGAAAGTGCAGCCCAAAGAGGCGGAAGCGCCGGGCATCTACTGTCACCCGGCGCAATAAATGCGGCTAACCGCAACATTGCAATGACATTTTCAATTACCCAGCCCGACTTGCATCTGCTTTCCGTCGGTTGTTTGTTTTCCCAGCAGCAGACATCTAGCAGTTGTGGGCCCTTGGCCAAACTGCCGTCTCTTGGTCCGAGCTGGGAACTGGAGCCCGGGAAGCCGGCGGAGCCCCGCCGTGTAATTGGCTTAACAAGACTGGCGAGCGACCGCAGAAATTGTTAAACTCGCATTAGTCGGTACATGTGTGTGCACAGTTATTACACCGCACAGGGCCATAAAATATACTTTAATTAATTCTTGCCGTGTGTAATTACAACTGCTGTTACGCCGTTGTTGTGCCACCTTTTCTTTTCGCCAACTCCGCAGACGGCATTCGGCATTCGGGGAGATTTCATACGCTTTTCTCGCTGATTTATTGCCGCCTTTGTTTTTTGACAAGCGTCAAAACGAATCTCGCCGACATTAAATTTGATTGCTTTCTAATTTATTGCGGCATTAGCAGTTGACCCACAGACACAGAAACACGGGGCAGAGGAAGTGGCAAGCGGACACAATTTTGTCCGCGAGCATTTCCCTTTTGTAATTTGCCTAAGCTGGGGAGAATTGAATTGAATTTTCCGCCCAAACAATAATATTTTGAAAGCTCCGGCAGCTTTGTGTGTCGCCCTGTGATGTAACTGAGCGAAGCGAACTGGCCCTTTAAACCGATGGAGTGTGAAGTAAGTAATACTCTTGTGCGCGTATCTTTTGCTGGTCTGGTCCACAGAGAACGGATGTATCTGAGCGATTGCTCACGTTTTATTAGATTACTTTTCAGTCGGTATGAGATGGTGAAAGTACCCAAGTATACGGGTATCTTTTGAGATACATCAAAAGATGCGGCACCGCGATATATATTTTACAAATTCGAAGCCATTTCCAGATGCTAATCCGTAGGCAGCAATAGCGTTTCTTCACCTTAAATCGCCAGAGTATCCCCCACAAGTGGCGCATCGTAAATTAGGTATTCATCCTCCCTAGGCCAGCTCCTATTGATGGCAGTGAACAAAAACTATGGGTACAACCATTCAGTTATGACCAACTCGGCGGGGCTTCGGTATCTAAAGCCCCATGTAAGCACGTACATTTTTCTTGCTTTCGTTTTCGCCACCGGATCTTTTACATAAATGTGGGGTTTGCAATGCAATGTTTTACCTTTGCATAATGTCGCGTTGATTGCTCCACGTTATACGTACAACTGCGACGGAATAGCATGTTCCCTCTCCGTCAGACACAGACAAAGTTTTCGCAGTCAGTTTTCGATTTGGCACAGTCCCCGTTCCCGCGCCGGGCGGTTTTGCATATTCAAATTGTGCCGAGCGACATTCACAAATGCGTGCCACCTACAGACCCCACAAAAAATACAAACACGTTACCCGAACTTTTGGCGCTGTCGACGAACGTGAGGTCAGAGGGCGGGCGACCTGCCAGAGCTATGTAGTTGTATGTTAGGCCAGCACGCGCCACCAAGAAATGCCCCTAGATAAGCGCCGGCTCTGATGGATCGTGGCTTCAGTTTCGGTTTCAGCGCGATTTGCCACTGCAATGTGTTATGTGCTCGTTTCAGCCCGTCTCGAATTCATGCAACCGCGCGGCGTCGAGTCGCGGAGCGAACTGAACAGAAACTGGAGTCGAAGCCCCCCAACTGACGGCACCCGGCGGCTGTGAATCACTGGAGCCGGCAGAGGCTCTTTGTGCAACTCAGCAACTGTTGCAAGTTGCTGGAGTGTGGTCGGCAGCAACATCGTCAAAGCAGCGACATGGCCGTTGGGGTTCTCTAGGCTAAATAATTCTGGCTAAGTCTGTCCCAATGGCAATGGTGAAACATTGGACGGAAAGCAATATGGGTGTAATCTGGCGCATGTTGCATATGGATATTGCTAACATCGATGTATTATAATTCTATTAAAGCGACAGAACAGTTTACTTTTGTAATTTAAACGTTTGGAGGGAATCCTCAATTTGGCTTGTTGGTGAAAGCTTTCCTCGTAACAGCCTTTCCTGTCGTTTGATGGCTGCAATTAATCCGCGCACAGGCTCCGGGCAGCAACATTTCATGGCCATGCCCATGTCCGTATCCATAACATGGCGGTGGCGATAGTGGCAGTGAAATACGAGTCGCATGCACCTACACCGTACACCCTACACCATTGTTGCTGGCCAAATGTCCGGCATCCCACCACCATGTCGACTTTTTGTTCGCTGCTGCGCTTGAAAAACTTTTAACGCACATATGAGCACACTTCCGTTCAATGCAGCTGCTGCTGCTGCTGCTGATGCTGTTGCTGCTGCTGTTGCTGCAACAACTGCTGCAGTTTGTTTCGCACTGCAGGCTAATCCAGCTGGGCAAACAAGGATGTGGACTTAACTTTCGGCGAGGGCCGTACGAATGACTAGCTTTGAGGATGCTCGTGCTAATGGAATTTTAGATGAGCTGATGATGCTGGATGGGAATTGAAAGTTTCCAGCTAAAAACCCCAAAAAGTTGTGCTGTGGCTTTAAATAACCGTCGAGACACCTCATTGTTTGGGTTGAACAACCTTGACACTTTTATTTCAGTTTTCAGTTTGCGGCTCTGCACTTGTTTTGCCACATTTGTTTCTGGTGCGGCTAGTAATTAAATTTATTTCGCCCTCCTACGGTGAAGGTAAAGAGCCAAGTTCCAGACCAAGTCAATGACTGCTCACAATGCTCACCAAGCGAGCGGTTCGCGTAGCGTGTATCTCCGGGGCACATCGCCAAGTACCACGTACATATCTCATCCGCAAGTGCTATTTATTTGCTCTCATCGATTCCGGGCAGGTGTCTAAATAAATCACGCCCTGCGAGCCCGTTTGCTTGGCCCATTAATTATGCCAATAACTGATGACCCAAGTTGTTAATTGGAATAACTGCATTTGTTTGTGGTTCTTAACCCGCTAATGAGTTCATAAAAAAACAAAAAAAGTAATCCATTGGCTGTTGAGCTAATGATATGGACGATATAATTATTTTTTATCACATTAAATTGTATGTTCATACTCGCATAACCGTTAGAATTGCACTCATTATGTCGCAGATTTTCCACGCCCCCGGCTTTCCCACCACTTGCCTCAATTTCCACGCGTTGCATGCGGTAATGGCGTTAGATAAACATTTCCCTACCTGCATAATTAAAAAGTTCTTGTAATTACATTAATGCAAGCGGGGATAAAAAAACAATTTTGTATGTTTCTGTCCCACGTGCAGAGCACTAAGCTGAGCGAATATATTCCTTTTCTATAAACTTAAATTTCTTAAATTTTTTTGCAAGTAGAGAGAAGGGAAAGAATATTCGATTGCTGGAATTTCAGACATGCTTCTTGTTTTTTCTCTTCTATGATGGCCCGGAGCAAAGCTTTCGCCTGCAATTGTCAGGCAAGTCCGCATAATACATCCAAAAGTATGCAAATGCCACGAAGGAGAAGGAATTCTGTTCAGGAATAAAGTAGTTTTTACTTTAATCCCTCAATCGAACAGTAAATAGAGAAAATTCCTGATGCCGGAAACATGTTTATCTAGAAACTTTTTACTTACTGCAAACAAAAGCAGCCTTGTTTTCAAATTCATTCTGACGCCGTCAATAATTGTTGTGCTTGAAGCATTTCGTAAGGTTTAACTTATTTAAGTCAGCCAGTGATTAGAATAGTAACATTATTCAAGGTATACTAAATGTTGCTGATAGCAGGAGCTTGAGTAATAAAGATTATTCGTTATCAAACATATGTACTGGAAAGACAATTAAGAATCCTGAGCTTATTCGTTGTATACCTTCCAATCGGATTGATAAATATGATATGAAAAGAGAGCAAAACCTTATCAGACATTATCTCATCGCTTTAAGGTGGCATTGAACTCTGCCGGCAAATCCTCAACGAGCCTTTGTTATTATTTGTTGTTAAAAACATACTGTTTAATCAGCTAGAGACACCACAATTAGCCAACTCGTGTTGCATGCTTCACCGCCATATTTTAATTTGGGGCTTCCACCGCCACGGTTGGGCAACCCAACGAGTGTGGTATGCAAAGCATTGGGGCGTCTGTGGGTATTAATTAATTTACCTCAGCCAAAGCACGAAGGAAAGTCAATGACTTGAAGCTATGAAGGCTGGGCTGCTGGCGATTCAAGGCGCATGCTGCCACAGTTTATGAGCTTGCACATCTTCAGGAAAGTGAAATTAGTGTACAAAACATTAATCATATGAGATTATCGTAATGAGTTTGTAATTCGCTTATGTCAACAAGTATAATTCAATGATGAACCCAATGTTAGCAAGACAAATCTGGTGATAGTTCATAACTCTTTATGCTGACCAGACTACAAGGTCTGGGGATATTTGCAAATTGGTTGAATTCTTTTCTTTGCTTTTGAAAGAGTATAACATTTACAAGCCATCTGATAGACAACTTCAATGGACCATAGGGACTTCTTAAAACCCCTTGTTTAATAATTAAAACGTAGGTAATTACGTTTTTAATATTAAAATGATTTAATATATGACAATCGAGATTTGAGCAAATGATAAATCACACAATGATCGCTTGCTTTGCCCAAAGACAAGTACAAGTTTTTATTATCAATTTTACTAACCTCACTTTAGTGTAATATTTATACTATCAATTACTTTATCTCGCATCCCCATTAAATTTTTATTCCGGTAACGTGCCGAACGTTTATATATATTTGTATTCCAAACCCACTTTTCTAATCTTTAGGGTATGCAGACTCAGTGACATTTTTGTATACACGATATGAATTTTTATTGGTATAATAAGAAAATTTATAAGATATTGAAATTGATAAGCAATTAAAAATTAAGTGAAACTAAACTGTAGATATTGATAGTATATCTTGTACTCTACCTTAGTAATAGGCGAAGGATTGCAAAATGCTTTCCCTTCTCTAGAATAAGAAGACATCTGAAAATTTGCATCATCAAATCAATTTATTAAAATCTGTTCCGATTAGTTATTCCTGAAACAATACCACTGTGTATTTACAATGTCTCAAAGGAACAACCCCTAGAGGCGCTCCAAGGCGCGAATGACATGGTATTAAACTTGAAAAGGAACCTCTGTCCGATCGCAGATGGAGATCTTGAAGCTGCTAATAATCTGGGCCAGACCAATGCGGACTTGCATCTGTCCGAAACGCATCCCAATGCAGTTCCTGGAACCGTCGCCGAAGGGCAGCCACTCCACGGAGTCGCGGGCGGCCACCTTTTCCGGAGTCGAACGGTCCGGGTCGAACCGCATGGTAGCGAGGCTTGTAAGCAAGAGTCCGTGGCGAAGCTCGTTTAACACCTTCTGACCCTTGGTGTGGAAGTCTGAGACGGGGGTTCGCAGCGTGTTGCACTCGATGCCAAAGGCCAATGTGCCAATCACATCGGAGGTGAATCTGGCTTGACCTCCACAATAGCCCCGTTCGAGGTCGCAGGCACCTGCTTCAAGAGCACTTTGGCGAGCTCCTCGGAGACTTTAATCACGGTAGGGCACATGAACTTCATCTTGCCAGAGGTAAATGTGGTCGACAGCCTCTGGCGCATGTTCTTCCACTTCTGGACGTCCAGGTTGAACAAATGCTGGGTGAGTGGATCATCCCGCTCGTTGTGAAACTGGCCACGATTGGCAAAGTTCGAGAAGTCCTTAATCAGGATGTTCTTGGCTAGCTTGGAATTCACAACAAAGGCTGACGGTTTGTGCATGAAATAGAATCCAACGAAGGGGATGCCGCTCCCTGTACTTGTTGTAGTAATCGCACAAAATGTCGTGCACCACCCGGATCTTCCGGAATTCGAGGACGTTGCCGTAAAACGGATGCGGTGCATCATGGGGCACACCCTGGCGCTTCCAGTAGGTAAAATTGCGGTGGAAGAGGTACGCCAGCAGCGAGGCAGCCGCGATCACCAGGTAATTCACCACAAACATTCTAAGTTGGTCGCGCTTGGCCAATGAATTTTCTTTGATTACAACACGACAAGACAAGACACACTCTTTGGTATAGGTATGTAAACAGTAAAGAAAATATGCATCACTTTATTGTTTTTTAACATAAACATATGGAATTTATATTGTATCTTTTATTAATGCTGTAATTGCAATTTGCAAGGGTATTAAAAATTAAGTTTTTTTTTCACTACCACTGAATTCAAGCTTCGTTTACAATAATCTAATGCGTGTTGAACGCTTAACTAAAAAATCTCAAACGAGTTAAGGCACTTGAACACATACATATGTATGTACAAGGTAGAGAGACGCCATTTTCCAACCGCAGATTCGCTCACAAAAACCTATCAAATCTTATCTTCGCAATGGTGCTTCCGAAATGAGTCTGAGGGGAAAATGGAGCTAAAATCTGTCAACTAAATAATTCCTTAATTATCAGAATTTTATAGACCACTAGCTGTACCCTGCCACGTTTCTCTGTGGCATATTGTGGTTAAGAGGGCACTTCTGAATACATCAATGTTCCGGCAAAATCATCTTCCTTGCATAAGGTGAAGAAGGCAGTCAGAGTTGTCGCTGGCGGATTCAGGACTCTTTCTTGCACATTTCTTTCTGTGAAATAGATACGTTGACCATTCTCCAAATGGACTGCCAAGTGAACTAAAGCTGGATAGCGTTCATGAATGGGGAACGAACAAATTCTCCATGCAACCTCGTTGCTGCTTTTGTATCTTCCAGCCTGGTATTGAGATATTTCATCGACAACTCGTACTGCATTGCTGTCCCCATTTTCTGCCTGAACACCAAAAACTGCCATATCGCTGCCTTTATTCACGTACTTGCAGATAAATTTATTCGATTTCACGGAATTGCAATATTCTACGTTGATGTGCGCTTTGTATGATTTTGACAATAGTGGTGAGTATGGAACCACCCAACGATTGTCTACCTCAATATCACCAATTCTCATGTTTAAAGTTGCCGAAGTCCCTCCATCTTCAGTTGACCGTCTCCTATACAGAGGATATCCATCGTCCCCTGTTACGGTGTTGGCTGTAAATGCTCGAGGATATCGCTTGGAACACTTCCCGTCTACCATGCATGGTGAACTTCGGTTGAGGGTACCACATTGGCCATGGATCATGTTCTTGATGCCAACTGCATGCAAATCTGTATCAACCTCTGCCCGTGGAATCTCAGCGCATATCACATTGGCAATTTCGTCTAGAGTAATTTTATCATACAGCCAAATCAGTATGTGCGCATGCGGCAATCCTCTCTTCTGCCATTCTACTGAATACATCCAGCACCGCTCAGATCCCAAAACTCCATGTTTCACAATGAAATCCATCAGTGACTTGAGCTTTTGTCTAAAAACACGGGCTGTGATGTCATGCCTATCCCTATATGATTGTCCAGGAAATAACAGCTGAACTATCTCGTCCCAAGCTGGATTGCATGTGAAGGTGATAAATAAGTCTGGACGGCCGTAGCAACAAACATATGCCTGGGCATCTTGAGCATATTCATGCATGTGGCTCGGACTACCTATGTATGAGGATGGCAAAATCGTGAGCTTTCCAACGTTGGTTGTATTACGGTCATTCATCACAGCATCCCGCAAATGTATATATTCATCCGACCGAAGTTTCTTCTGATTCAATCGGAGGAACAGCAAACGTTGTTTCAATTTTTGCATACATATCGACAATGTACTGATGAAACAACTGACGACATTTCAATATATGATTGCAATCGGTCCTCCGAACCATTAACCTGTATGAGTAAAAGTTCATCGCGCAGCCGCGTCTCTCGGATGGAGGCCCGTTCTTCGTCAGTCATATTCGTAATCTTACGTCTTTTTGCTTCTGTATTGCGAATACGACGACCCAATCTCGACTTCTTTGGTGGCATGACTTCGTTTCTTACTGAACCTGAACAAAAATAAAATTTGTATCTCCAATTTCTTGTTTCAATATGTTTTTAATGTTTGACAGAAAATGCTTTGATTTGCTTGTAGAGAGCGCAGTAGTAGGGGCACGGGGAAAAGCTAAAAAAATAGATATATTCGCAACCGCAGATAAGCTATCAACATCAAAAGTAGTCAATAACCGAGCTGGAACCTCAACGCATGTTGTGTAAAAATTTGGGCTTAAACGGTTCAGAACTTTTCGAGTCTATGAAGGATGTAGACACGAACAGAGCATTTTTATATATATAAGATTAGAATATAAATAAGGAATTTTAACAAAGTATTATAAGTCAGGTTTGGTGCTCACGCATCACATTAACGAAATATGTTACAAGTGATTATTTTAAACCAGTGTTTTGACCTCTTAACTTAACCATTCTAAAGACACATAACGCCTAAAAGCTCTAAAAATCGTCACCTTATCATACAATTATAAAATAAAATGAGAAAGGCAGCAGTTAAGCCTTGCAGATTGCAATTTGAACATTGATAATTAATACATTATAAATTAGACACATTTATGTCAAAAAACAACCTTACATACTATATTTACAGTTTTATAGTTGCAGTTACAATGGCTTTCTCTAAGATAATATAAAAAAATCTGTTGGAAACTGAAAATATTATTAATTTAGTCGTCGGATCCGGAACTTTATTCCGTGTCACCACATAAATTTAAATTAAAGCAAACTTGTAACTAGTTTGCCATGACTTGCACTGATAAGGTGCCACCGAATTAATTTTGTATCAAAATGGTTGTCTAGATTTTGATAAGGTAAACTGAGGGAAAGTAAGCTACCGCTGCCGCTGAGCTCCTAATCCTTAAGTTCTCCTCCCCTCAAGACAACTCATTATTTGCAATATCAAATCAATTTATTAAAATCTAATCCGATCAGTTATTCATGAAACAATTAACTGAAATGTATTTACAATGGCGAATAAGAACAACCCCTAGACGCGCTCCAAGTGCAAGTTGATGCCTCCAACTGTTCCCAGTACTAATGACATGGGATTGAACTTCAGAGGGATCTCTGTCTGATCGCAGATGGAGAGCTTGAACCTGCTGATGATCTGGGCCAGACCAATGCGGACTTGCATCTGTCCGAAACGCATCCCAATGCAGTTCCTGGGACCGTCGCCGAAGGGCAGCCACTCCACGGAGTCGCGGGCGGTCACCTTCTCCGGAGTGAAGCGGTCCGGGTCGAATCGCATGGGATCCGGGTAAAGAGCCTCGTCGCGATGGAATGCGCAGGCTGGAATCAGCACCTGGGTGCCCTTCTGGATCACAAACTTGGAATTGCCAGGTACCACATAGTCATTGAGGGCTTTCCGTTCCAGGTGGGGCACCAGGGTGTACAGCCTCAGAGTCTCTGCAAGACGATATGGAGTAAAGGATGGGTAAAAACTGATTTGGATTTGGATTCGGCTCAGTACAACCAACCTGAGATGACCTGGTCCAGGTAGCGCATGGCCTTGATGGACTCATAAGTCAGCTGGCCTTCGTGTTCCTCGAGGACCGTTTGGATCTCGTTCCTCAGCCTGTCCTGAATGTCCTGGTTCTGGGCCAACTCATACATGCAGTAGCTCATGGTCGAGGAGGAGGTCTCAAAGCCGGCCACGTAAAACACAAAGACCTGGGCGGCCAGCTCGCCGATGTTCATTCCCTCGATCACTTCGCCATTGTCCAGGGTGATTCGACCCTTCTGCTTCATCTCAATGAGCAGATTCATGAAGTCGTTCCTCTTGAAGTTCTCTCGCTCCCTCAGGGCAATGGTTTCCTTCACCAGGCGCATGAAGAACTGGTGGACGTCCTCGGGGAACATCCGCATCCTTAGCTTTTTGGCCATCTCTGGGAAGCTAAACGTGAGCATCGTGAGCAGGGGGCCATGGCGCAGATCCGTGAACACCTTCTGACCCATGGTGCGGAAGTCTGTGACGGGGGTTCGCAGCGTGTTGCACTCGATGCCAAAGGCGCATGTGCCAATCACATCGGTGGTGAATCTGGCCATCAAGTCCTTGATCTCCACAATAGCCCCGTTCGAGGTCGCAGGAACATGCTCCAACAGTACCTTGGCAAATTCCTCGGAGACCTTGACCACGGTTGGGAACATGAACTTCATCTTGCCAGAGGTAAAGGTGGGCGACAGCCTCTGGCGCATGTCCTTCCACTTCTTGCCGTCCAGGTTGAACAGGTGCTGGGTGAGTGGATCATCCCTCTCGTTATGGAACTGGCCACGGTCGGCAAAGTTCGAGAAGTCCTTAATCAGGATGTTTTTTGCCAGCTTGGGATCCAAGATAAAGGCTGCCGGCTTATGCAAAAAGTAGAATCCGACAAAGGGGCTGCCGCTGTTCCTGTACTTGTTGTAGTAATCGCACATAATGTCGTGCACCACCCGGTCCTTCCGGAATCCAAGTAGATTTCCATAAAACGGATGCGGGCCATCGTGGGCCACACCCTGGCGCTTCCAGTAGGTAAAGTTGCGGTGGAAGAGGTACGCCAGCAGCGAGGCGACCGCGATCACTAGGTAAATCACCACAAACATTCTGAGCAAATCCCGTTCACATTCGACGCGCTCGACCTGCGAATATTCTCTGCTACCCCGCGCCAGGTTCGGGCCCCTTTTATAGAATTGGCTAGCGTCGAGCGTTTGTCAAAAATCAGCGTGACAATGCGTATTATCGGAAGGTAGGTCGTCATGATTACAGAGCTGGCGATAACGCCAGATACTTTTGAGGGGGAACACTGTCCAGCACGGCAGTGCTCCAAAAGCACCTTATAACAGTGATAGTATACAACCCTCTTGGTAGCACTTCACTGAACGATCGTGCTCAGATTAAAATATAAACAAATGATAAAACGTTTGTTGTTAAACAAACCGGTTGCCGTCCCTCTCTCTCTCTCTCTTTCTTTATATGTATTGTACATACATATATAAAAAAGTTTATACGCAGCTGGTTTTATCATTAATTGCAAGATGTAAAAGTTGCAAATCGATAGATACCAATGCTAGTCAGATTTGTTATTGAGATTTTCTAGTTAATTATGTTACGTTAAAAGCGTTGTGTTTTAAGAAATCAGTTAATAAGGAGGGTCAAGTTTATTTTTTAATTCAAAGTAAAGTTATATTTCCCTGTCGGGCTTTTGTTGCCACAAGTGCAGTATAATCATTGGTGTGAAGTACTTATAAATCATAATTTTTGAGACAAATTTAGTTAGCTTTTTCTTTTTTAGAAATCGCTCCTTACACAACATTTCACCTATTTTTTCCACAATGAATTTTCATTTTTTCCAAGCACTTAAGTCCAACGTTCGTAGTTATTCCTCTTGTTATTAAAGGTCCTTACCCTACCAACTTTCGCTATTTTCTGCTCCTTTCAAATTTCTTTTGAATTCACCTAAAGAAATTTCAGGTGGAAACTAATGTTAACAGAAAATTATATACACTAATTTTTGCGTACTTAAATATTATTGCTTTAGGTGATTACAAGTTTGTTATAATTAACCGTGATAAGGATACACTGAATAAAAATCTTATCGTTGTCTAGTTTTTGATAAGGGAAACTGATGGAGCTGCCACCAAAAACAAAGGTATAATAACCTGAATTCTAAGCTCCGCAGCCTCCAACGCTCCAACTCCTACCGTGTTCTGTGTGCTCTTAACGCCCTGATTACGTTTACGGCTAACCGCGCTTGAGTCGCGGCCCGAAGGGATATAAGCCGATTAGGATGTGCATTTGCCTCGCGTAATCTTCCATCCTGTCGGCGAGGGGGATTGAGAATGGGAACTGTAACGCGATTACGCCGGATTTCTTTGCTCCGATTGGAGGAGAAGAAAGCGGAAGCGGAAGCGGATGCGCCGCAGGAAGCTATGTTGACCTTGTGCATCACTTATCACAAGTTGCTGGAATTATTGGCGTTGTCTTAGAGCGGTAAAGGGTCCTTGTCCGGGAGTGTCCTTGGCTGTCATTGTCTGTTACGTTGAGTGCTCCAGTGGCTTAAGTGAGTATGTGCAACTGACACTTGTACGGAAACTGTCTCAATATTTTTTCCCAGGAGCTGGGGCCGGAGCCTGTGCGGCAGGGTGACTTGAAGAAGTGAACAAAAAGTGCATTCCGTTTTTTCCCACTGTATTCAAGATTGAAGTCCTCCTCGCAGCTTGACCTTGGCAAACTCAACCTCGGCCCACATGTGTCACAGTATTTTATACGGTCGTGCAGCAAGGCATTGAGGGAAACAAAGAGTAACGCGAAACGAGGCGTTCTTGGCATAATGAAGCTCACAAAAAGAAACAAGAGACGCGCTGGAGAGGCGGCTAGAAAAAACTAGATTGCCTCCCCTGACTGCACTTATGCGCTAAATAAAAATGCAAATCTAAATGCAGCTAAAGAGCAGAAAAGGGCCCGAAGAAGCCAGCCAAGAAGCAAGCACAAAGAAAACCCCACGCCGACGTCGCGCACAATGCAGATTCTTCAAGAATGCACTCGAGGGCCCTCTAAGCCGACATCCGACTGCTGCTGGATCTGCCGTGATTGTTGTCTCCGGGGAGACAGCTTGGCTAATTACAGATGCTGCTTCTGCTGCATCTGGGAGAATTTCGTGTAAACAGTCGGCTAATTGTTTGCTCTGCCGAGGTGTTGGGCCCCGCAGACAGCTCTTTCAAATGCAAATGCCTCCTGTCTCTGGAGCGGGGGAATCCCCCGAATCTCCGCATCCCCGGTTCCCTCGAGTGCGGGGAGTGCGTGTGCCCTGAATAAATTAGTTTTATTTGTGTCTGGATGTCGAGCAATCTAAACAAATCGTGGGCCAAAGACAGGCTTGTGCATTTCCTGTAAGGCGACAAAATGATGTCGCGTCTGTACATTATGTAAATCGCAATAAGAAGCTGAGCGTACACTGTGAGAAGAAATTAAGGAAACGTGTGAAATGAACTAAACTAAACTAAAATACATTGCAACATTTTTTTAAAGGGTTTTGAAAAACCACAGTGAATTCTGGAGCACCCTAGCCTTATGCATTTAATGAGCATGAACTCTCATTCTTTAAACTCTGAGTGTGTATGAAAGGGGATTGAATCAAAGTAGAAAAGTTAAAGTAGGGGGAAAATCTTGTACATCAGCACCGGAACACACAACCAACATAAGAAAGAGCATTTCCCCAGACTTCCTGAACCACACTTCGAGGGGGATCCTTCCCCATAATTGTCATAACATTGATGATAACATTATAATAAGCTCCTCGTGAGGGACTCAGAAGACCTTCTTAGTGCAATTAATGCCGCCCAAGGGATCTGGAATAATTAGCTGCCAGAATTCTGTTCCGTCAGAGGATGACAATTGCGATTCCTTTGGCGGGATTTTTCAATCACAATCAATCGCTGGCAGCGGCAGAAGGATGATGGCTGATTGAATTTCTGGTCTGACATATTCGAGCCGTGATTGTGTGTGGCAGCTGCCGACCTTCTGAAATATATGGATTCGAGGCTGACTGTGTGGAAAGGGTTTTTGTCTCAGAGCCAGAGACTTCAATGGAAGCCATAAAAAGCGCTCTGGCGAGATGCACCGACAAGTGCTGGGTCAATGTGTCAAACGAAAGAGACGAAGATGACACAAATTGTCACTCCGCCCGGTGGCCAAGTTGCGAATCTTTGATTTATATTGTTGCAGCAGCAGTCGCATCTAGGACAGCCACTGGAGCGGGTCGGCAGAAGCTGTCAGAGCAAGTCTTACTTTTTATGAGGGGCGATAAAGCGCCAGCTGAAAAATGCCAGCGAGTATGTTTGCTGATGGCACCACGTGGCGTATACGCACTTTAAACTGAAATTGCCTTTTGTGCTGGCAATATAGAAGCAGGAGCAGGAGCAGGAGCAGGAGCAGGAGAAGGAGCATCCAAGCCGGGCCCGAAACAGAGCACCGAAGCTCTGGGCAAATAAATGACAAAGCCATTTGTAATGAAATATTAAAGCCAGCAATAAAAAATAAAGGCTATGCGGAGGGGGGCGAAATCCACAGCGGGAAATGGGCCGGAAAACATCAGCATAATACTTATTCATTATGCTGCTGGTCTAGGCGTAGGCGTATTCGCATTCCCATTCCCATTCCTATGCCCATTCCCGATCCGTGGGCGGAGGAGCTGGGCAACCCGGAGCGTTAACACACATTTTATTGGACACACAGCACATAAACATGATGCGGCACGGGCATTAGGAGCGGAGCAGGCACATGGCTCCAAGCAGGAGAAAATCGATACACATATGACCGACCAAAAATGTGGAGCCTGGACCGTGGAGTTGGCACAGGTGGCAAGAATAAATGAATTAAATCATATATATACATATATCAGAAATCAGTTATTCAAATCAAGCCGAACTCATTCAGCAAACTCAGTTTCCACTCGAACGAAGACAAACAAAGTTTGATCTGGGTGCGAGACTAATTGTTTCCAGCTGCCTATTTTGGCCAGACTGGTTTGGGCCCACATCAGCAAACATATAGTAAAAATAACTAGATTCCTGCGATGACAGCAGCAAATCACGATTGCCCTTTACGGGCATGTGGAGAAATAAAGCTACGAGTACGACTGCCATCGAAAACGAGAACGAAAACCTTTTGAAGTTGTCACTGCTGTGGCGGTGGGTTTGCCTTTTACTGGCAACTGGCAACTGGAAACTGGCAACAGACTCCCACAAACCACAGCCCCCCCTACAGCCTCCTGCCGGGAGTTCGCCCCTTTTCCAGCCACCGAAATGTAAATTGGGCAAAACGCATGCCGAACAAACTTTTCCCCTCGCTGGGAGCCGAAAGAATATTGTTTAACTCAATTCGGCACGCGAATCTCAACCCGGCCCGATTTGTTGATAAAAAGTAAAAGTATAAAACCGAAAAGGCAACGGCACAAGGTCGGAAGTCGACTCTCCTCCACCCATCGGCAATCAAATTGAAAATTCTTCATTGTGCAAATATTGATTTTGCTCGCTGCATAAAGTTTTATGCTCCGAAAGAGAGAGAGAGATCCCAGGCCGGGCGGGGAAAGTGTGCGTTTTCTAATTTCCACTGCGATAAGCAGAAAGTTTCTACCGATTTCCCACTGAATTTCCATCGCTGAACTGCGACTGCCACAAGTGTCGGCGGCAAGGTCGAGTCGAGTCTAATTTTTCCCTCCCCCGTCCAGACTCGATCTGTGCTGTGTCTTGGCTAATTCAACGCCTTCTGGCCCGGCAAGTCGTGCGTTACGAGCTTTATCTTTTTCCCCAACATATTATTTATGGTAATCGACATCAAATGCTGCCATTAAGCTTATTGCCATGGCAAGCGGCAAAAGCAAAAACGTTTTCATACTTCTTGCTGCTGATTTTGTTTTTTTCCTGCTCTTCTTCCCCATTGCCAGCGCTGTTTATAGGCCTCGAACGCTAAATATATTGTACATCTGCAGAAGAAATTCGAGAAGGTGGCAAATTAGCTTCCTAGAGTCGAAGCTGTAGATACTCTACACATAATTGGGTTGTATGTACTTCAACGTAGAATGGAATTTGTGAAGTAACTTTGAACTAGGCATTTATTGAATCAAAATTAAATACATTTAAG